CGCTGATATAATCGACGAGCGTTTTGCGTTGTGTACCCATTACTGAATTAGATGTCCCCACTGAACGAAAGAAGATGTCCGCTACATCAACCAAACTGTACAATGATGCTAGTTTGGTTAAAATCGGAGTATTTCTAGCGTCGAAATTAGGATGTCCTTGACTCTTTACATTTCGCCAATTATGTCGAAATCCAGTTCCAAACTTTGAAAGCGATTTATTAGACTTTAGGCTGCGTTCATAATGTATGGCGGGGGAAGGGGGATGGGGGCAGGTGAAAATTGGAAATGTCCAGAATAATTCTTAACACCCCCCCTTAAAGTCATGCATAAAACGAAAAAAAAACACGAAGCCCCCGCAGCAAGGCTTGTAGCTTCTTCCAGCTTTTCTGATAAAAATTTGCCCATCCCCCCCTTTTTTCTACCAAAATTTTCCCGATCCCCCCTCAATTTCACCTGTCCCCCCTGCCATACATTGAACGCAGCCTTATAGACCAAATGTTTGCTCAATGGTAACATGGGGAAGTTTAAAACAGCTATTCACTCAGAATAATAAGGCTGTTGTTGTACTTTTTAGTGTATAGAAATGGTTAATGCATTTGCTTTTTTTAATCGCCTTTGGGACGACTCCAAGTAACAAATTTGCGCGTTTAATTCAAAATTGTGACTTTTACACTAATAATATTTCTCAAAAACAAGAAGATAGTTTTTTCTTTTTGTTTCTTTACTTAAATTTCAACCCTTTATCTATAAGATTTATAAATTTCAAAGGCATCGAAGCTTTTAAAATTTTTTGTCACGCTGGTAAGTCAAGAATGACGTATTGTTCAATACTGAACGTTTTTAAGACCTTGTATATCGTGACTCTTTCTTTTTCGTTTAGATAAAGTGAAAACCATTCATTCAGGAAAATACTAGTTGAGAGAAAAAGCGCGAACAGGACAAGAGTCCCATATAAAGTTTCTCCAAAATAAAACGTTTTACAAACACTTAATACCACTGATAAGAAACATTGAAAGAAAACCGAACAATACTGACAGGTATCAAAGACAACGAGCAGCAGCAGGTGATATCGTATGAGCGGTATTTATAGAACCGCTCTTTAGGTCCATCGTATAAAACTTGAGTATAATGGTGATACTTCTTTCTTTAACAAGTTAGATTTTGTTTATTAAACCGTATGATTAAATGAAGACCAATATTCAACTATTCGACCATTCAACTATTCACTTTGTGTAGAATCGATATTTAAAGTACTGTCTCAGGCATTCCGTGAACCTTAAGCATTTTAGTCTACAAAGGGAAGATTGAAAACTCTTGGTGGATAAGTAGGGCAGCTACAGTTCTTCACGACTAATTTTTTTGAAGAGATAACTAGCTAAAAACTAGTGTGAGCTGCGTCGGTGTTTCTAATGAAACAGTCTAATGAAACAGATAAACGGGTAAATTATACACCGTGAAAAGATGAAAAAACTTACTGACGTTTCGGACGCTAAACCTTCGTCGGAGTAAAATTTTCGGAGTAATTTTTTTGGTTTAGCAGGGAAGTATTCATGGGATGGTATTGTCAGTACAAGGCTCACTATACTGTCCAGAAGGTCGCGTGGTTTTGTTCTCTTCTCCTTTAGGTCTGATCTAAGTCAGGGCACGGGTAAATCACAGATCCATCCCTAAAACCGCAACCACTGGTCTGATCTAAGTCAGGGCACGGGTAAATCACAGATCCAACCCTGAAACCGCAACCACTGGTCTGATCTAAGTCAGGGCACGGGTAAATCATAGATCCATCTCTGAAACCACAACCACTGGTCTGATCTAAGTCAGGGCACGGGTAAATCACAGATCCATCCCTAAACCCTCAACCACTGGTCTGATCTAAGTCAGGGCTGCCCCTTGATTCCCAAACAACAACCACGTGTTTCTCTAATGTTTTAATACCTTCCAAATTAATCTCTACCAGTTACATTAAAACTTTTCGTTCATCACTGAATTAATTATACAGAGCTATGTAATGGAGTTTAATTCCCGGTTATTTTTGGGGTTTGGTTGAACGCCTTGTCTAACCTGGGATAAAAGTGAGTTTCATAATACAGTGATCGTCGTCTACAGGGCAGTAAAGTTGATAACCATTACACACTTTGCCAACACACGGATTGTTAGCTTTAGTACATTTGGCACCCACAAAGCGGCAATCCGTTCTCTTCTCCTTTAGATAAAAACGAACAAGAAAGATATTTGTTAATTTGGAGGCATATTACTAATATACTATCATTCAATCATGATATAAGCTGCACGGCTGTTGATAGCGTCATCAGCATATTGGGACAATTTGAAATGGGCTGTCATATGTGAGCTTTCTATTATCATCATCATCATCATTATCACCATTATCATCATTATCATCATCACAATCATTTATACTGTCATCATCACAATTATCACCATCATCTTCACCACGACCACCATCATTATCACCGCAATCATCACCATCATCACCATCAACACCATCATCATCATTATCATCATCACCATCAACACCCCATCATCACCATCACCATCAACACCCCATCATCATCATCATCATCACCATCAACACCGTCATCATTATCATCATCATCACCATCAACACCATCATCATCATTATCATCATCATCATCAACAACAACAACACCACCATCATTATCATCATTAAATATTGCCTAATAATGTTGGTTAAATGTTGAGTCAAGTGTTGAGTCCAAAGTTGGTACCGTTTATCATCGTTCGCGGCCAACGAATGCCTGTTAGATAAATATTGCGTCAAGTTTGATTGTTGAAACAACCTTTGGCCAACATTTCCATTGTTCTTATAGTTTGATATGGTACACCAACATCCAGCCAACATTTGCTCCAGGGCACTACACATGCGCATTTCAGTACACTTTTTATTATACCCAATTAATATGTTATTTAAAAACCTCCCTTGGTCATTACTAGAAATGTTGTGTCAAATGTTGCTTCGTTTGTCACATCATCTACTTTTAAGACAGAAGCCGGAAAAGTTACTTTGTACTCATCACCTAAATTGATAAAATTGGGTTCCTCACTGAAAAAAACGTATCAAAAATATCACTTACGAACGGATTGTCATTGAGGGTCCCGCCACCAGAGTTTCGTGGAGAACAAAAGACATCGCCTAAGAGAACAAGCACCAAACACACGAAAACGGCTTTGTAGATCATTGTGTCTTGAGAATGAGTGACCTGTTGACTTCAGTAGTGTGATCAGTTTGTGATTCAACGTTCAGTTTACCAGTGGTATATATACTGTGAAACGCTATTAAAACAGTTAAAAGACAGATAAATATAACCCTCTTCATGTCCTTGAGAAAAGATAACACGGAGGCAATAGGTCCCGGGAACAGTCTTGACGCTGATTCGTTTTGTTTTCAAACTGATCAATATGAAATAAAACATTAAACAAGGAATAAACTAACGGAAAGGATCGTGATTTATTCTGTTTTGTCATGTTCTGTCATGTTTATGGTCAGTGTTCTATATCATGTGCATATTTTTTCATGTTTTAACTCGTTCTTTCGGCAAAACCTTTCTTCTCAAAAAACTTGTGAAGCAACGGTCAGAGAAAGCTGTGATTTGTTCTGTTCTATCACTGATTCAGTCATGTTTATCTTCGGTGTTCTAGGATGTACATATTTTTTTCCATGTTTTAACTCGTTCTTTCAGCAAGACCTTTCTTCTAAAAAAAACTTGTGAAGCAGCGGTCAGAGAAAGCTGTGATATGTTCTATTTTATCATATTCTGTCAAGCTTTGATATGTTCTATTTTATCATATTCTGTCATGTTTATGGTCAGTGTTCTATGATGTTCATATTTTTTCATGTTTTAACTCATTCTTTCGGCAAAACCTTTCTTCTCAAAAAACTTGTGAAGCAACGATCAGAGAAAGCTGTGATTTGTTCTGTTCTATCACTGATTCAGTCATGTTTATCGTCGGTGTTCTAGGATGTACATATTTTTCCATGTTTTAACTCGTTCTTTCAGCAAGACCTTTCTTCTCAAAAAACTTGTGAAGCAGCGGTCAGAGAAAGCTGTGATATGTTCTATTTTATCATATTCTGTCATGTTTATGGTCAGTGTTCTATCACGCGCATATTTTTTCATGTTTTCTCGTTCTTTCTGCAGGGCTTTTCTTCTCAACAAGCTTGTGAAGCAGTGCACGAACAGAGAAAGCCAAAGAAAAGCAGGCACAACAGACAAACCTTTTGAAATAGCTTTCCTAAGTCCCTTTTGACAAAATGGTAAGAGTACGTTATAGAACAAACGTAGAAGTGAGACTTGATAAGAGACTTGATAGTAGCACTGGTAGACTTGAAAATCATCGTTAAAGCTTTAAGGTGGCTCGACCCAGTTTTCAGAGTGCGTGGGTACTTTAATTGAAACGGCTATAATTCAATAGAACATGATATTTCACATACTTGCTACACATCAACCAAACTTTACAATGATCCTATTTTGGTTGAAATTCTATTTTGGTTGAAATTGCCCGAGATTCAAACCCGGGTCGCATTTAGTTTGTGAAAGTCGAGCGCCCTCACCCCTACCCCATCCGCGTTTCCAACATTTTTAAAAAGTTTAAGAGCTTTAACCTTACCCTTCACCATCGTTGGCCCATAAAAAGCGGGTTTATATTGAACAGACCTCTTTACTGATACAGCGCCCATCTTGAATTCTATTGTTATAAGTTAGAGAGATGCAATGCCAAGGGAACAAATATTAGAAAATTTATAGACAGCACAGCAGGAGTGTCTTTTTATATATAACAACTTTACGTTATCGAATGTGAAGCACATCTAAAAACCAATTGAATTTGCTGGTAGTTGGAGCGATATGCAAAACACCAAAGCGTGAAATCATTTGAAAAAGTAACTTCGCCACTCTATACTTTTTAAATATGTCCTACTTTTGCTCCCTGGGTATCGCATAATTCAAGATGGCTGCAGTATCAGTGAGTAAAAAGGTCTATTTGTTGGATATTCACAGAGTCTGTGCTTGTTAAGCCAGTAACATTCACTGATCCTTCGTGGGACGATTTTTCTTCAAAATCTAGTTTTAAAACGATGGAAAATCAGATCTGCGAAGAGGTTAGTAAAAAAACCCAAATTTGTTTTGTTTTTAATAAGCTTTTATTAGCGTAATTTAACGAGATTTATCGCGACGTCTCCACAGAGAAAATCAATAATCAAAAGGCATGCATATATGTACGAACATTTGACCTTCAATAATAAACCTAATTTGTCAGAAATAGTTGTTTGCCTCGAGTCGATTATGAAGGGACATTAATTAAATGACATTATAGTATAGTAGTAATAAATTATGCGTTCGATGTTTATAATGATTCCCGCCAAGGGTATTGGATATTTTTCTCTTATTCTCTCTTTGACATTGTATATAGAACAGTTAGAGTGGCCACACTAAATCCGTGAAACAAATACGAATTTTTAATTAGCACTAAATAGTGATAATTAAACAATAGAAAACAAAGGATTCTGTATGAAATAGTACTAATTAGTATTATTTAATGTTCACGGTTTTTCTATTATATAAAGATTTTATAGAAAAATAATTTGGATTGCAAGTCCCTAAATCTATCAATATTTGCAAAAATGTTTTCTTCACTTTTGTATCTGCTCAACAGATGGGGAATATTTTTGGAGCAAAGCGTGTTTGGTGCAGGCTGATTTATTCAAGGTACAGACCATAGATGGAAGTTGGTAGTTTGCAAGTATTTATTACGGGTATCCATGCATCATAGCTATTCATTATACAGCTCATTGTGCAAGGGCGGATCCAGGGGGCAAAGGGGGCTGAAGCCCCCCTTCAGAGGAAAAAAACAAAACAAAACAAAACTGAAGATTTAGATGCTTTTTTATTGTTTTCCGTTGTGTTGACGGAATAAACTCAATCAGCCCCCCCTAAACTCAATTAGCCCCCCTAAACTCAATTACCCCCCTAAACTCAATCAGCCCCCCCCTAAAATTTTGGTTCGATCCACTCTTGGTGTGATGTCATTTTAATCAATATGGTCATTTTTGGATAACAAGGAGGTCTTCTTTGATATCATTAGTCTCGGCCCATGTGATCTTCGACGTTTGACATAAGCCTATAAATAAATTTTTATATTGCCTATAAATAAATTTTTGATCAAAAATAGATAACAATAATAGTATAATTGTAGTTTTATTTTTAAAAAAACTTATTAGATATTTTTGTTGGTATTATGGGCTGATATTTTACTCGTCTGTGTTTCCCTTATACCCAAGAAAATGTGCAATACAATGATACCTCTATTACTAGACTACCTTTGGCGATCAGGGACTGCCACTGTAATGGTATATTCATTGTGTACTCGACAGAAAAGAGAACAAAATTGATCCAACAAGCCAAGGGTTCAACGAAAATGGTAATCAGCAGGACGAACCATTGGATAATTTCTACATCGAGTCTTACGGTATGTAAGAAAGTCAATCTTGTAATAGACGTCTTTACACCTTGGGCGAACTGTGTGTCTCATTTTAGCCGTCCACCGGTCATTCTCTTGTGAAGATTCTTCGTCTCAGTAGTATCCATATTCATGAGTCTTCTCATGCGCAACCGCTAAACAAAAAAACGATACTCTAGAGAAAGATATGTGGTCTGAAATGGGAAAAACATTAAGCCCTAAGAAGATGTATTTGTTTTATTCGACGTCAGTACTCCAGTTTCAAGTTCTCCGTTGCTCAGGGTTAGCCTCGATGTTGTGCAGAATATTGATGAGTTCCAGTGAAGGTCGGTGGAATGTAAAAATTGTCTGTATTGAGGTTTTGCACCATCACGTACCCAAGCCAATAATACTGCTTGGGCTACCTGTGGTTAGAAGTCAGAACAATAAAATCCCTCTGCTCTTGGGAAATTTAATTCTTTCTTATGTTAAACGATTGTATTGTTCCTGCCATCTAACATGGCGATCGTTACGTGGAGGTGCAAAACCGTATTGTTGAAGTTGTGCATTACTTATATTTGTTTAGAAACTGATACGAGGCTAACCCTGAGTAAATGAGTCTGTAATCAAGGAACACAGCGATAATTTGATCACTGCACGGTTTCTCTTTTTTAGACACACCCTGTAATGATCATTTGTGCAAAAACTATGAAAGATGCACGTATAAAGGCATGGGCTACAAATGTAAATGTACGCTATTCAAGTACGGAAAACCATGTATTAGCACCAAAGGTGAAAAATGTTTTCCTTGTTACATCGTATTTTCAATCCGTTGACTTTGAATGAAAGCTTTTTAAAAAATCGTCTCTCACCTCTGGGGTGTCAGGTTCAATAGGTTGCTATCAATAGACGTCACTTCCGGTAATAGCTGCGTGTTTATTGGCTTGTAGAATCTTTTAGGTTGTTTTGATCTCTCGTTTTCTGGTTTCATGTCGTAGAAATAGACAAATACAATAGTTTGAGGAATTCTTTTAAATGTTTTGACTTAAAACATCGGTTAGTTGCCGCGTGTTTGTTCCCAATCAACTCCAAAAAGTCACGTGATTGATAGTAAGCTGGACTTGGCATCACATGTGAGAAAAGTTTGTTAGGTCTCACCATTCATTCGAGGGCTGTCTCTCCGTAAAACCTAACACGCTAAATTTCAATTCGATCTGAGTTAGCTGTGCCCTGACTTAGATTAGCCCAGAGGTTGTTTCAGGGTTTGATCTGTGAGTTAGCATGCCCTGACTTAGATCAGCCCAGCGGCTGTTTCAGGGTTTGATCTGTGAGTTAGCCATGCCCTGACTTAGATCAGCCCTGAGGTTGTTTCAGGGTTCAATCTGTGAGTTAGCCATGCCCTGACTTAGATCAGCCCAGAGCTTGTTTCAGGGTTCAATCTGTGAGTTAGCCATGCCCTGNCCCTGACTTAGATCAGCCCAGAGCTTGTTTCAGGGTTCAATCTGTGAGTTAGCCATGCCCTGACTTAGATCAGCCCAGAGCTTGTTTCAGGGTTCGATAAAATTGAAGTATTTTCATTAAATATATTATCAGTTTGTGACAAAGACTCCTGCAAATACAACCAAACTTGCCCCGCATTGGAGGATTGTTACAAATGTGATTGCAACCTGTTCAAACTTGAACAAGTCTGTGAATATGCCGGTAGGTTCAACAGTTTCATATGCATTTTCCTTTACAGTTAGGACACTCGAACCTTTCTGGTTATTTCCTGAACTCAGTTTCTACTGTTTCAAACACTTGATCTTAAATGAAGCATGGAGTTTGAATACGCCAATGATCAAAGTAATTCTTAATCCCAATCGAATAGCTAAAGGAATGATTTGCAGCGTGTATCTTTTTTTTAAAAAAACAGATTTTTTGACAAAAATCTCGAAGTATTCACGGTTTGATTGTCCTCACTCTAACGACCTGTTTCTTTCCTGCACATACATCTCATGACTTTGCTTGCTTTTTTTTACAATAGGTTTTTATCTTCTGTTCTCTGGTTTAATCACTTTTTGTACTATAGCCATCTTTCTCTTCATTTTCGTTGGCCGTCGACGTGTAAGGCGGATATATACTTTTGGTCCTTTTCAGTCATTCGATTAATCGGTTATGATAACGACTGAGGACAGTCAATAACTGAATAAAAGGTAAGCTAATATTTATGTATCAGTTCTAACAAGTACTATACTAATTATATACACTCACAAGCAAGGGCGTAGCCAGGGGGTACAGGGGGCCCCCCCTCCCCGCCCCCATCAGCACGCTTTAGAAACCTAAACATCTATGTAGTCACTTGATTAGTTCGACTTTTTTTTTGCGGATTGGCTTTGAAAACGTAACTTCTCGAAAAACGGATACATGTGTACATGAAGACGACAATTATATTTTGAAAACGAATTTTTAAGAATATCCTGATACGTGAGGACTGGGCCTAAGTGATCATACATAATACTCCTGTAACCAGAGTATTGAATTCGAGTTCCGTAAATTGTGGGACGCACCAAAAGTACGAAGAGTACTAAGGGATTTTGTAATCTTTAGATAGAACACGACCCCCAACGCCATGGGCGTGTGTGAGAACATTTCCCTTAGTTTTCCATCAATGTTTATTCGGGTGATAAGTCCTGAGATTTGAGCAGATTGACTGACAAGGTGATGCTTATGGCAAATGTTGTTCTCATTGACAGGTTTCTTGACTGGGTTAAGTGAACAAACCTACAGCAAGTGACAGATCCTAGGCCTAAAGGGACACACGAGTGCTTAAACACTTGCGCAGGAAAAATGGTCAAGGAAAAAAAGACACGACCTCTGATAAAACCAGGCAATATCCTAGAAGCATCTCACGGGGAAACTACAACTGACGTACACATTTGTCAGCATTAAATCTAGTCCACTGTTGCTAATCTTGATTTTTTTTCTGACTGCTGCTCCTTCTGTATTAGATATAATTTGTTAAATACCAATTTAAAATACCATACCATATTATATTTTAAACATTTTTTATATATTTATATATTTTAGTATTTTTGTAATTAATTTTATTTTAGATTCATTTATCAAACTATTCATCTTATTTTCTCGGAGTTATTAGCATGTATTTGCTATCTTAAATTCGAGTGTGAAATAAAGTTTATTGTTTTGTATTGTATTGAGTTCGTGCTGCGCTATACCAACGAAACAGTACGGAATGGAAGGGCGGAGAACCGAACGTAACGAAACGGATCTGATCGAAACGGAGTTAAACGGAAAAGAACAAAAGAACGGTACGGTACCGATCAATGCAAGACGAAAGAGAACGGAAGGAACAAAATGGAACATACGGATCAATGCCAAACAGATCTAGATTTCAAACAGCCTTTACATCAAAAAACTAGTTTCGTTAAAATTTTTGGGGTCGAAATTCCAAAGGAGAAAAGTCGTTCCCCCTGGCGAAACTTTTACTTTCATCGAGGAGTGTCATTGAACCAAGTTCAACACAGTCATTGGACATGGATTATCGATCATCACATGGTAAAGTGTCATATTTTCCAACAGCTAAAAGTAAATATGAATGCTTTAATTAACTTTTCGTATGTACAATACTGAAATATCGTGAACATTCATTGGTCTCTTCTAGAGTAAGCTCACTTTTTAAGTACTGGAAATTCATTTAAATATATTTGCATCGTGTACAATGCTTAAGTGAAATGTCTTACTAGGCACTGGTTATGTGAAACCCAACTAAGTTATCTACCAGATAAACACTATCCAGCACAGTCCTGTTGTACGAAGGGTGAATAGTGCTATCCAACATATAAATCCTATTGTATGGATAAATTTATTGGATAACAGCATTGACTTATCCACTGGATAAGGATTTATCCGTTGGATAGCGCTATCCACCCTTCATACAACTAGGCCAATGGGGATAAAAGTGTTATACAGGAACTAGTTATCCATAGGATAAAAACCAGTAGATATCTCCTATTTGAGCTTCAATTCAAACCATTTGGATAAGGTGTATCTGCTGATAAGGATTCATTTGTGTGAGTGATAACAATTTTCATGCAATGTGATGATTAGAATGTTGAGTGTCTGCTTTGCAAGCCATGTATAAATGTAGTCGTAGGATATTCATATCAAGATTTTGGTCCACACACCACACCACCTCTATTTAGTGTCATTCTCGGATGTTATCTTGGTCTGTGCACCACACCACCTCTATTCAGTGTCAGTCTTTGATGTTATCTTGGTCTACACACTACACCACCTCTATTCAGTGTCAGTCTTGGATGTTATCTTGGTCTNGATGTTATCTTGGTCTACACACTACACCACCTCTATTCAGTGTCAGTCTTGGATGTTATCTTGGTCTGCTCACCACACCACCTCTATTCAGTGTCAGTCTTGGATATTATCTTGGTCTGCTCACCACACCACTCTATTCAGTGTCAGTCTTGAATGTCAATTCTTTCTTCATGACTTGAACATTGTTCTTTTCTTTCTCATGTCTCATCTTCAGTATCTCTAGCAGAGTAACTTCTTTCTCTTCTTCATTATCATCTTCTTGACTTCTCCCTTTTTGTACCACAGTTTTGGGTTTGGGAACGGTTTTTGCATAATTCATTGCCTGGTAATATATGAAATCACCAATACTTGCTAGAATTTATTCTGCTAATAAAGACCTTAATTAGGCTCAGGTAAAATGTCAAACTTCACATGAGCCAAACCTAATTGAAACAATGGATAACAAGACGGTCTTCTTTGATGTCATTAGGTTCGGCTCACGTGAAGTTCGACATTTGACCTGAGCCTTTGCATCTGGTTTTACATTAAATTACTTGATAAACTTGAGATACATACAGCTTGTCGCTTAGCCTCTGCTTGTAGCTGTCGTGTCGGAGCAGGAAGTGGGGCTGCTTTCTTCTCCCACTGCTTTCTCCTAGCAGCATGTTCTAGACGGATTATTTCTGCATATTGTCGTTGCTTCATTGACTTGGCAATCTTGGAAAAAAGTGGAAAATCAATTAACAATTTATTATTTAAAACATTAACCTTTCAACATATCGTTTTATTCCTAAGTCAAGTGAAAATGGCTTTCTAGTTGTTTACACATTATATCAGGGTAGGGTCAAACATTCTTGTACATCCCAGGTTTCTAACTGGTTAGACTACCCAAAGTTAAAATGCATTGTTTTCATTCTACATTTTGATTGGCTCTTGCTGTCTAACTGATCTAATTGGCCCCGGTTTCAGTAGTAGCACAGTAACCTGTCATGCCTTTCATCTTGATGAGCAGTTGACAATAAGACCATAGGTAAACCTGCATTGAATGTAAATCCTGTAATCAACTTACCTTTCCCTTGTAATCCTTTGATTCTGTATCTGGCCCTAAGCTACCCAGCATATCGACTTGCTCATTTTTTATCTGCCGATATTCTTTCAATGTGTATGGCTTAAAATCAACAGGTTTTTGAATGTTCGAGTGATTCCTAGTACCATCAGATAGCTTACTTGCTCTGTCATTTTCACTGGACAAGAGCTGAGTATTAGACAACTGAGGTTCAGAAACAAACTTTCTTTCCAAGCCCGAGTCTCTTTGGTACATCTGTACAGGATTAATGAACTGGGAATTTGTCAATGACTGGGATAAAAGATAGTCATGTTCAGGAAAAAATTCCACTTGGTCAATAAGGGGTCTCCGTTGATACACTACTCCTGGAGGTGCAGACTGAGATGCATAACCTTGAATTTGTGTAGACGGAAATATAACATTTGATTGAGGATTGGATATGGCACTCGAGGTTTGATATGACTGGTGTCCATAGTTACTGTACCTTAAACCAAAATCTCTGTAGGGTACATGATATGGTTGATTCATATAGCTTTCATAGTTGGGAACTATAGTTTGGTTCATATTTGCATAAGGTGACAATATACTATAGTCCGACACATCATAATACCCACTTTTATCAAAGTTCGTGTATGTAGTACTATTTGATCGTTTAGATGAGAACGAAGAAGAAGATTCATTGAATTGGTCATATCGTTCCAAGTCTTCTGTCATGTTTTCTTCATTTTCTTTCTCCTTTGAAATCCTTACTTTACCTTTACTTTGGTTCGTATTACCTTGTTTTAATTTTAACTTTTGCGAATAAAGAGCAGCATAACTGCTTTTCCCTGGTTTTCGGATAAATTCTGCTTTATTTTTGTCGATAAAGTAATGCTTAACTTTAGGCTTTTGTTTGCTCTGTGGTTTGTTGTTGACAGTTGAAGCTTTCTGTTTAACGTCTTTAGACGACAGTTTGGAAGAATCGGCACTCTTTGTTAAGTTTTCAGCTTTTACAGAAGGGCCATTCTCACTTAAATCATCAGATCTATCTTCTTGCAATATTGATCTTTCATTGCTTTGCAATCCATCATTGACTCCATCGTCCTTCAACTCAAGAGAGTCTGCCAACATCTGACTTAGTTCATCTTCGTTATTCCTAATAACGTCCCCATTGTCATCCATCACGACAGAGAATTCATTGTTTTTCTGGTTTGTATTTAATGTGTTTTCTTTCGTATTATCATTGCTGAATTTTTCGTTATTTCGTACATTATCTGTTGAGTTTTCTTGGTCCAATATGGCGGCCAGTACGCTGGGATCAGAGGCCAGTGTTTTAATGATTCCTTGGTCTCGATTTTCCTCCTTCTCGTTCTCCTCCATGCATCAATTAATTGACAAAGCCTAGAGAAGTTCAACACGCTGGGAAAATCTTTGATATTCAGAATAATTTAAACGATGCACAAATTATTCATTTCATGACAACGAACATTACAAACAACAACAGCCATTGCTAAGGCTACTAATTTAAAAAATGGAGGGGAGGGGTGGGTCGTAACCAAACACACAGGGAACCCAGTTCAATACCAAATACCATATAATTTCTTTCATAGAAAATGATCTAACTCTAAACTTGTGAAATAAAAATCCAATAATAAATTGAATCCGAAATGGGCTAGCTTTGTTCCTCTGAACATACTATTCAAGTGAAGACATAATATATGTCTTTTGTAAACTTTAGAATCCAGATTTTGTTTTTGCTTTTTTTAAAAATTCTTGAAAATCCAGATTCATTTCTTGGAAATGCTACAGTTACGCATTACAAATATATTACTAGAACGATGGGAAACATTCTGTACAACAATATTAGTTTATTTCTTTTGCACTAAATGTTAAGCCCCTGGATTAGATATAGCCAAGTACAAATGCAGCATCCTAATATTGTACCTCGTACTTTGACATGTACTCTGAATTTAAAAACTGATATCACTCATGGCTGATTTCTTTGTCAATAAATGACATTTTTGGTAATACAAAAAGCATAGTCATTCCAAGACGGATGTATGCATTTTAAAGCTAAAACGAAAAGTAATGTCTTTTATCCAATGGTTAAGCCAATCCCAAAACGAGACTGATGCTTAACATGGTTGACCATTCCACTCAAAACGAATGTAAATGGTAAAGGTAACAGTCTCTTTTCAAAAACAGCCGCAACTGTCCAATTAGTATCAACCATTCCACGAAATACTACATTGGCTTTGGGAAGATCCAGTTGATATCCTAGACTAACGCAGCTATCTTTAGCACGTAAATTATATTCGTATTCCACTCCAACTTGTACATTTTCATTTCCTTTATGCCAGTAACTCAAGTGCCAACCAGCTTGACCAACTGTGGTTGTCGCAGCCCATTTATCAGCAGTATAGCGACCAGCAAGAGACATTACAGCTACTTCTTGTCCTGAACCATAGTGATAGAGCAGTTCGCCACCCAGGTCTAGTTTGGGGGTCATGCGCTGGAGGTAATGGGCCACTACAATACCAGACTCATTTAGAATATCTAGGTTACCCACAGTTAAGTTTGCTGTGAAATCATTGCCACGATATTCTCCATCAGCCTGTACTAGCACCCAAGTAGACTTTTGTGTCTGTAAAGTTATTAAAAAAAAAGTTATATTAGAATGAAAACCAAAAAGGAGAGAAAACACAAAAACAAGAAATGGAAAAACAATATTTAATATATTTATATGAATTTCAAATATGAATGGATCTTTCAACCAAACGTCATTAATTATTTGCCAGGGCTTAAAATAATTACAATGGCAGGTCATGATGACCAGCAAAGTTTTAAGATCAGGGTTCGTGCTGAGGTAACCACTTAAAATTCAAGGACTATTCAAGGAGTATACAAGGACCCAAAAATGAATTTCCAAGGAGTATGTTCAGCTAACTATGCCAAGGTTTTACACAGTGGTTGCACATGGCCGACTTTCAGATTTTCTGATCAGTTTTCAAGGAGTTTCACTAAAATCGTAAAATTCAAGAGTTTTTCAAGTGCCCTTGAAAACTTGAATTAAATTCAAGGAGTTTTCAAGGAGTTTAAGGAGTAGCATGAACCCAGTAAGATGGTCATACCTCATTTCTGGCTCAACGATACTGGTCAAAATGACATGGACAAGTTCCAACTCTGGCTGGAAATTGTCCAATGACCAGCCATTGTATTATAACCACTGCTATCACATCAATGTTAAATACATACCTGTATCACACATTTTCCTCTAACTCTCTTAGTCAATTGGTGGATTATCTGTGCATTTAGACTTCCTGTAGTGTCTATGTCTCCTAGTAAAACTGGGTAAGCCTGTTGAAATAATAAAAATATTAATGATTAGAGAGAAATAATCAATGAGATTTTTTTCCACTTCAATAAAAAAATACAGTCAAAGATTAATTTAATTTTGTAGGGGAACTGAAAAGGATGATTATTTTACCTGTTTTATAAGGTGAGTATATATTTTCAACCTCAGTTTCAGACGTTGAAAGTTTGACTTACTGTATACATTGGCAAATATGCTAATAAAGAATAAAAAGTCATACATACCTCAGAAGGTGAAATTTGCTTAGAGCCCACATAGGTTGCAGCAAAGTGGTATGAACCTGGTCCCATACCACTGAGTTGAAGAGAATGGCTCACTTGAAAATGGTTACTCAGTCCTTTGTTAACCATTAGCTTGTATCCCTCCATTGGTTGAGGAAACACATCTACAATAAAAATGTAAGCAAAAAAATCCCTGAAATATCTCTGGGCTACTCAAAGTCAGGGCATTGCTAACTCACAGTTTGAATTAGAATTAAGTTTGTTAATTTTATACAGAGAAACATAAACCAGAGAACCTGGAAAAACCCCTCATATTAAGTGAGAGACCTAACCTCTAGTCACTTATGACACTTAGTCCAGGAATCAAATCAGTGGTAGGCTATCCCTATCCCTCCCCTCCCCCAGGAATCAAATCAGTGGTAGGCTATCCCTATCCCTAACCTCCCCCCCCCCCCCCCCCCCCCCCCCGAGAGCTTGTTTACAGGACCTCCTTTAGTTTCATCGAATCAAGGCTAACTGCACATCTAATTTCAAATACAAAAGCCTCCTTGATATTAAATCTATTAAATATTAAATTTAAAAGAAATGCCCACATGGCATCATGAGTACAGCCAGAATAAATAATGACTTATGCAATGGCTGATACCAAATCTACTAGAGTATAATCAACCAACCTTCCTAAACTAACTATTCCGTTATCTTATTTACCTCTTCATAAAAAGGAAAAGTAATGTTTTAAAGTTTTAAGCTTTGATTTTTATCTTCGCCTAGTTGATCACTGAACTTGATTGAGGCAAAAGTAAAGCTTGTAGACTTACTTGAAACCCCCCCAAAAGGCTTGAAAATTTCAGTCTCAAGCGCTTTTGAGCCAAGTCAGAATTAATAAAAGAGAAGGGGCAAAAAACAGAGGTATTAAATAAATCTTCATCGTAAAGAAAATCAGTATCGTGTAATTCAAACCGTTTACATTTCACCGGTATTTTTAAGTAAGCTGACATACTTACGTACCTTTACACTTCTTGTGTAATTCTTCGAAGGAACCCGGGTTTTTAGATGCTTCTGCTTTCACAGGAGCTTGCTTAGGTTCTACTGGTGGAGGGGCAGTCAATGGAGGTGGAGGGGGAGCAAGAGATCCTCCAGAAGAGGAAGGAGGATTGGATGCCGCAAAAACGTTCCCCATCGTTTATCAAAGTGCCATGTGCAAGAAGAACGAGATTTAGAAAAGCCTCGATATATCCTCGAATCTGATTGGTTAATTTTACTAACCACGGGCGCCATCTTGGACGATGACTAGACGGAAGACTGGACTCTACCTTTTTATACTCATCCCATCACCTTATTTTTGAGAGGGTTTTGCAGCAATGATAAAAAAATATTGTCTACACTTCAAGGTTTTACTTCATTTTTAAAATTCTGAACAGTAGCTGTCCAGACTTCAATTTCTCTAGCGTATGGTTAACAAAAAAGGGTAGGATAAATTGTTAAATTGAATTATACTGCATTATCACTGTCAGGAGATAAAATCAAGAATAATGTGACTAAATTGGCTTTTAAAAATATATACAAGATATATTTTCAGTAATGATTCTCTGACGAAAATTAAGATTAAGAGTAAATGTGTTTGGGCTTCCTGTGTCAAGGTCAGCGGTGAACTGCGCACGTTTCCCAACACGTTTTCCAGAAGGCATCAGAGAAAAAAAATTAGTATTTCTTTTAAATTTCTTCCACATTCATCGTTTCCTATCAACGCCTTTGATAAAGGAATATGGCAGAAACAGAAGTAAAGAAGAAAGAATCGGTATTTCAAGAGCTTCAGGCGGACGAGGACGCTGGAGTTATCACTGTGGAAAGTTTGTGTATGAACTGCCATAAAAACGTAAGCTTATTTTAGTCGAAAATATTAAAAAATAGCCTTCAATAAATAAGGATTTATAATGTTTATTCTGTTTTTTAATAACATATTTATTCGGCAAGAGAAAGAAAGAACTCAAGCCAGTTTTACATACAGTATATAAATAGATAAAGAAATAAAAAGATAAATAGATAAATAGAYAGAGATGTTATTGCGTCATTTACAATTGAAATCTTCAACTCTCGTTAAACTCATTGTTGTGAATAAAAAAGTGGGTATTGAGCACTAGCAATTCAAATTATAGATTAAGGTTAAACGAATATAACAAGAAAAGCACTTCTTTGGTTCTTGATATCTCTGCTTCATTGTTAAGGGTACGACTCGCCTCCTCCTGGTCAAGATTCCGTTTTTTAAAGAGATAATATTGTCATCATTTCACTGTGAGCATTGTGGAGAAAAGAATAGTGAAATACAGTCTGGTTCATCTATTCAAGACAAGGGATGCAAAATATCATTAAAGATCACTACCAAGAAGGTAATATTATATTGTAAACTATGTAGTAATGATGATGATGATGTTGAATATGATGATGGTTATGGTGGTGATGATGATGACGTTGATAAATAATAATAAATTATTAATAATAGCCAATAATGATAATTACAAGTCTCTGTGTGGTGCTCCCCCACAAGGGTTTGTCATGTGCACTACTGCTTTGTTCAATATTTACAACATACAACACTCAACTCACATTGAGTAGAGTTTGATGGTTCTCCAGCTCTCTTGATTCAAAACCTTTTCTCCAGATTTTCCAGTTTTCCTCCCTGTGCAAAACCTAACACACCCATGTCAGGGGCTGATGAAATTGGAAGGCTATAAAGGGCATGGAACGCTTCAGCCTTTTGAGAATTACTGGTCAAAATTTAAAAAAATCTTATTATAGAAGGTGGCCTTTATGTTTACACTAATTTTACCATTCATTTAAAAATTTTTGATATTTTGTTTTCATTGGCTGTAGGATCTGGATAGACAGGTAGTTAAGCAAGAAAGTGCCTCCTTTTCTATTCCCAAACTTAGCTTTGAAGTTCCTCCATTTACGCAGAAGGGAGGTATGTACCAGTATTATTTTTTTTCTATTATTATTATTTTATTATTATTATTAATATAATATAATGTACCAGTATTATAATTCATTGTACACATGTTCCCAATTAGTTTTGGTGTTCCCGATTAGTGTTACAACTTGTGGTAATCTACTGTAGCATAGAATCATAAACATTTGACTGGGGACTTGCTTTTGCCCTACTTATACAGTATACACCCTTAGAAACAGATTTTGACTTCCCACAGTGGAGTTCATAGCAGCTGTTTGATGAATAATGATTGTTCTTGCCTATTTATAATATTGATAGAAATAAGTACCATAGAAGGACTGATAACCAGGGCAGTGGCAGGACTTGAGCAGGACCAACCAGTCAGAAGAGTAAGTAAAACTGTCCATCCGTTAACATATTAGGTCCTGACCTTTAGATCTATGATGGAAGCAAGGATGGCAATACCAGATTATAATTATGCAAGGACATTTTAAAATGGTTCTCTGTGTGCCTGCCGTTCTTCTCAGTATTGCCGTTCTCTCTAGGACGTGAAAAAGAACCAATGGACGTTCTAACTAGCAAGGACAGCGGTAGCAAGGACGACAGCATGCATGTGAAAAATCATTTAGAAAAAGTGTTTGCCTGCTACAACTGACCATTGTTGAGATTTCTATTTTTTGTTAATGAGTTTGAGAACTAATAATGATATTTGTATTCTTACCCTGATTTCAGCATATGGATCCTGAATCAGCTAAAAAGATTGATGCATTCTTAGTGGAACTTAAAAAGTGTTTAGAAGTGGAAACACCATATATCGTTATCCTTGATGATTGCACTGGGAACAGTTTCATTGAGAATATTTATGCTCCAAAACCTGATCCCAATATGAAAACAGAACTTTATGAAAGAACAACAGAACAAGACAATAGTCTTGGCTTCTATCAAAACACATCTGGAGAAGAAGAGGCTGAAGAAAAGAAGGAGTCTGAAGAAAAAGGTAGTAATCACCTTTTTTTTCCTAGTTCGGTATCCTAAGAATTGGTATTCTAACTGGCTTCTCAAGCAGGCAAATATTTTCTATCTCTCTAACCCCAGTCCAGTATCCTGGGATAAGGGTTTGCAGAACACAGTGGAAACAATTGCAAAACAAGTTAAAAAGCATCATCTTTCCCCCCCCCCCCCCAGTTTGGTATCCTAAGAACTGGCTTTCTATTTGGCTGCACAATTGGATAATATTTTCTTTTTCTGATTGCAATCCAATTATTTGGGATAAGGGATTTCAAAGCAACAAAAAAAAAGGGGGGGGGGGGAATGCAGTTTAATGACTTAAAAAGTAAATGTGAGGGGGGAGTTTTATTGGGTCACTCCCATTATTTTTCCTCTACAAAACTCTCTTCGGTAATTTGGAACTCGAGAAAGGTCTATTGATGCTGTGAGTTAACCTTGATTACTGTACATGGATAATTGAACAGCTGTGTACTTTTTCATGTAAGTGCAATATTATGGAGTGAACAGGAATTACTTTAATGCTGACTTTAACAAAAATAATATCTTCTTTCTAGAAAAAAATAAAGCATTTGACAAAGATGAGGTAACTATTTAGTTTTCAGTTCTTAAGTTTGACAAATGGCATTGACAGATTTGATGGTTTGAACTTTTTTACATTTGTTATATACATTTTATAAATAAATGGTTTTTTTTTGTAGGTAATAACTATCCCCACGAATTGTACATCTTGTAATGCTCCTTCAGAAACAAGAATGAAACTTGTGTGTATCCTTGACAGCAAATATTTATTTTACTTTAGTCAATCAAAAATATAAACCCAATTCATAGGTACGAATACAGGGGTGGTTCCAGACAAAAATAGAAAGGAGGGAGGGCGGGGGGGGCTTGACTGAATGACACTAAAAACATAGGAAAAATTTTAGAAAAATATTTTTTTTTATTGATCAAATAAAACTATATATGGCTAAAGGGGGAGGGGGGGTGGGCTACAGGTCCCCTTTCTCCTCCCTGGATCTGCCTCTGGCATACCTTGGATTGTACTATCATTTGCATCTAGGCATAAACACCAGACATCAATACATGTTCTAACTAGCTTCTGAAATGTTTGTCAACCTTTTTTTATTTCATAAGATTGCCTTTTACATTCAACTCGACAGTTTCGCTGACAAACATACGAGTTTCAGAGCCAGTTAGAATATAATTTGATGTCTGGTGATTGCATGTAAATGCAAACGACTATAAGTCTGTTGTTTGTTTGTCATTATGGGTCCTTAATCCATGATGTTTAGCTATTCCTCATTTCAAAGAAGTGATAATCATGGCCCTCACTTGTGATACCTGTGGTTTTAAAAGCAATGAAGTCAAGTCTGGAAGTAAGTAGATTTGAGAGAAATGTTACCTTTGATTTAAGGGCAATGTGGTATTCATGATAATAAGGTCAAAAAATGGTCCAGATAGAGCCCTGACAGACACTATTCATGGTAATGCAATGTTTTACCATTACAGACCACATGTCATTTTCTAGAAACACATTTCAGTTTTAACAGGAGTGCATGCGAAGACATATTAATGTGGATACAAATCAAACATAGAATCTTACTCTCAAGAGAATGACATGTGATCTGAAATGGGAAAACATTACGCCACAACGAATTAGGTCTATTTCAAATGTGATTATAGGAAGTGCCTCAGTCTGCTCATTCTTTTCTGATGTCCTCTTGGAAATCATTGATACTGGGTGGCTCCCATGGCTATTTCTATACAGAAATACACTGCTTCAGATACTGTACCTTTACTGCAACTTGATGTTTAATATTAGGTGTTTGATGAGTACAAAATCCAGGGTAACCGTTACTTCAAGAGGTGGTGGGTTCTGGGAATCACTGAGACATTTTCACCACTCAAGGATAAACCATATCTTTGTGCCACTGTGTAAATTCTCCATATTAATATATTATCCTATTATTACTAATATGTTGTATTAGTGTCATGACAAAACTAAAGAAATTTTCTACTCTACTAATATTCTTTTTATGTCCTTGGTCATAGGTGGTATTGAGCCTAAGGGGCGTAAATTGACTCTAAAGATAACTGACCCCGAGGATCTTAGCAGGGATATTCTTAAGGTATCTTGCTAAACAAGACAAACTTTACATCATCTTTGTGTAAAAAATACACCAGCATTTTAAAGCAAATATGTCTTATGGCCGTTACATGCTGAAATTGTTAGCTGAAACAGCGTTGCAAGACATGTTTCAGAACAAATTACACAGTGTAACACCCCTAGCTTTGTGAAACTTTTGTTGCACAAGAAAGTATTCTTACCAGAGTCCTTGTAATACTTTTTGTTGTAAACTCATCAATAATGAACCAGGCATATTATAGTGAAAATTATTCAAATTAAAAATTTTGCAAACTTGAGATGTTTTTATAATAGCAAGCTAGAGGGGATTTGATCTATGGTTCAAAATATTGTCGTGTCGGCTGGTCATGAATTACACGATTACCATCTTATTTATAATATGTTTTCTTCTCTGTATGGCCTAGTCTGAGACATGTACACTGAGTATCCCAGAATTAGAGTTTGAAGCTGGAGGGCCTACACTTGGTGGAAAGTTTACAACTATAGAGGGCTTGTTATCAAATGTTGGTGATCATCTCAAGTCAATCAATCCTTTTGGTTTTGGTGATGGATTTTCTTTGAGTGGTGGTAAACTAAAAGGCTTTCTTGATAATCTACAAAAGGTATTCAGAATGTTATTTTCGTGTAGACATTTTGTTTGAGAGGTTGCCATATTAGCTTGTTCCTTTGTTCCTTTTTCCCTTCTTTGGTTTACAATTTATTTTAAATTATTAATGTCTAAAGATGTGAATTGTGTTTCATCAAGCAAATGTTTCTGGGGGGGGATTCAGAGAGCTTTCCAGGCAGGATTTGAACCTGTGACCTTCTTTGAATCCCATCCTTTTTTCCCAGGAAATATTTGCTCAATGAAATACAATACACATTTTTAATAACTTTCCAAGCAACAAACACACCTTAAAACTTATTGATATCTATTTTGTTTTAGATCATTTCAGGTCAGTGGATGGGTGTGCACATTATTCTTGATGATCCAGCAGGCAACAGTTTTATACAGGTAAATGATGGATAACGGATCAGTACAGTATGAGAAAAGTTCTGTGGGATAAATCCACACTGTTGCTGAAATTTTGCTTAAATGTTGGCTGACCACCTACCAACATCGTACCATCATTTCATTATCAACAACTTTCTGACACCTTACTGCTGTGTTACTGAACATGTTACTGATACTTAACTACAGTGTCATAATTGTTAAATATTTTTTATTATTAGAATCTTTATGCCCCTGATCCTGATCCCGAACTAACGATAGAGGAATATGAACGAACAACGTCACAAAACGATGAACTGGGAATTTTACACATGAATACTGAGAATTATGCTGAATCCTGAAACTGAAATTGGTAATTAAATAGAGAATAATTAATACAAGGCTGAGATTCTGACTACTGTACAGGTTTCTTTTGATTGTTTTTTCTTTACCACCATTTTTAATGCTACATGTTGATCAAGACAACAGTTGTGACCTGGAGATCGGGCAATACACTGCTGTCAATCAAACCGTCCCCATGTTTATTACTGTGGTTGATGGTAGTGTATTGCTCAATTTCCTTGTCTTGACTGTTGCCTTGTCAGTGCATAGCAATAAAAACAGAGATAAATTTTTCTTTCTTATATTTATTCTTGATAAATTTTTGCTGCTTTGGTGAACAACAAACTAGTAGAGGAGTAGTGATTTGATGATAAAAAAAAAGGACAGAAATGATACGAAAAATTTGTAGGCATACATGATGTAAGTCATACTGTAAGTCATATTGTAGCTGTATCTAAATATTGTGATTGGATGACTTACTGGAAAATAATGGGAAAGTGCTGTAAGTCAGTACTGTATATTTTTAAGTCCTATGTTAACCATTTTTATAAGAAACCATTTCAATGTTACGGCAAGTTGTACTATGCAGGTGCTCTAAGTCAGTACTGTATGTTACTCTCTTATGAAAACTGCACTAGTGATAAGCTGTACTTCATTCAATGAACAAAAATTGCTTATTTCCATGCAAGCGATAAAAGTCTTTGAATGTCATTATCTGCTCCAATTGTCAAACACTGACCACCATGTGCTGTCAGCTAAAAAGAATTGTATTGAAAACTTGCAATTCAGCTGATGAACATTCCACATGAGATGAGATATGACGTCAAGTGAAACCCAGCAATTGAGTGTTGAGGAATTGATTAATTTCCTCTTTTACTCCGACGAAGGACTAGCGTCCGAAACGTCAGCGAGTTTTTTCATCTTTTCATGGTGTTCAATTTACCTTTTTATCATTACTGTTTCATTAGAAACACCGACGCAGCTCACACTAGTTTTTAGCTAGTTATCTCTTCTAATTTCGACACAGTGCATGACTATTTGAAATCAAGAGGAATTAAGACCGGAATTAATTATGGAATTGCTAGTCTAAGATTATTGAAAAAGTTCTACATATTGTGAATCATCTTGGTCTTCTGAGTGGCTTTGACTTAAAGCTTTGTATGTGTTGCCTTGTTGCCATGGTGATTCCTCCCTACATTCAGCATATTGGGAAGTGTTGATTTTAGGTGATCTGAGTGAATCATCACTAGCTACACTTGAAACAGATCTTTTATGGTACGGTTCTGAGGGTTCTGTGTAACCGTCACTGTCTTCACTGTCTGAACCTTCTATTGTCTTTGATCTTGCATACCACTTGTTTCCTTGATCATTTGACACTAGAACAACAAAGAAAGTAAGATATTGATCATTTTGAATGACACCTAGGACTGTTGCCTTATTTGCATACTAGTATTAGTTAGGGGGGGTACTCCCATATATGGACTATACAGGGATGATCCGCTGAACAGGGTATGGTTTTTCAAGCTTCCTATCATAAACAGGGTATGCAATTTCACTCAAGCTCCAAGTTCTTCCTGAGTTTCCTGTCATATTCAGGGTTTCTACTTTCATATTGACTGAAACTGGTTATTGTGGTCTTCAAAAAACGATAAGTGAGATGACATGATAATTGAAACAGGAACTCAGTGCAATAAATTATATCTTTTGTCATAAACAGGGTCCACAAATTTGAGTTTTTTTATCATAAACAGGGTACCCCTTTCAGAATCCCAGCGGAACACCCCAACCCAAATTCTGGCGGAGTACCCCCCCCCCCCGGGATTAGTTATTACGCTGTAGATAATCATGGAATAATACAATTTGGAATATTAGAGTATTTTTTATATTTCACATGAAATGCTATGGTAAACATATAGCTGTGTGGTAGCAGTACCTTTGCCTTACAGTTACATTTTTTTACGCATTGCGCTTTGTGTGATTGGATGATTATTAGAGGATAATGGGAAGCCATTTCAATGTTATGGCAAGTGGTAAAGTGTATGTGCTGTAAGTCAGTGCTGTAATGATTCCCACTCAACAAAAACCGCTTTATTATTCTTTGCAGTAACTCAGTGGTTAGAGTATCCAATGGGTATCTAGGAGATCGTGTTGTTTCCTATCATGTTTGTTTCCTAAATTCCAATTCCTATCAGAAAATCTGATTTGTTTCTGAGTTCCTTTCAACTATAGTTAAATTATAGCTATAATTTAATACTTTCATTGCCAATAAATTAATATTTGTCATGTAGTTGTTATACTAGAAGGATTCTGAACTGAATCTGGGCGTATTTAGTTTGAGTGTGCAGGTTGTATATAACAATGAACACATTAAAATTAATGACCACTATCTTGAGTAAATCTTTCTTGTAGCTCGTTTGCTATTTGCTCATTGCTATTATTCTATGTATTATTGTCTTAAATACAGACTCAACTCGCGCAGTCAAGACAATGATAATTCAACATTAGACATGCATCATCAGTAGAACTTTTTAAAAAGAAACTTAAAACATACCTGTTCAATTTATAATCCAAATAGTCAGCCCATATTTATTACTTGAGTTTATTTTTATTCTTAGTTTATATATTTTAATGTAAAGGCATTGAGATTTTGATATGCCTTAGAACCACAATTATCTTTATTATTATTCAAAGCCCTGCCAGATCTTTTAAAAGCAGCATGATAAATCGATAATTTATTATCGATTCTAATTTCTTCACTTAAATAATCAACCTCAGTTGATAATTATTATCAGACACTAAAATATTGAAATCAATGGATACCTTTTCTTGGTTTTGGTGCAGTTTGAGGTCGCAAGTCTATCATAGACTGTGGCTTGCTCAAGTTCTGTCCTTTAATACCCTTTTGTGCTCTTACGTTTGTGCGGGTGACGGGGGTTGGTTTGACAGATGCAGATTCTTCTGTTAAGATAGCAAAATAGTTAATTATCATGGGTGGGTTTACAAACAGGGGTTAGAACTGTATGTGAATTTGAATTTACTTTTTAAGAAAAATTAATTTTTAAAATTTTCCCCCGGTTCACAACGCAGAGAAATTAATGTTCATTCTGAGTAGGTCAGGTATTTTTTATCTCCCACTGTCGATCGGTATTCATGCGCTTTTATGATTTAAACACTTGCAGAAATAACAGATAGCTAAAGAACAAAACAAATTTCGAAACATATGGGAAAACTTAAATGGGAAAAATAGTTATTTACCATTCTAAAGTCAGTCTGGATAGAGAAAAACTGTGCCCTCTGCCTTGAAAATGGACCTTGGCCTTATAGCCGTAAATCCATATATTCAAGACCATAGGTACTGTTTTTCTCTATCTATCTGGACTTCCTGGCCCGTAAACAACCTCAATCTCTTACCATGAGATGGTAAAGGTGGTGGTGGACATGATGGAGGTGGCCTTAGGTTTTCTAAGGACAGGGGCCGAGAAAAGTGCTGAGTCTTAAGGCCGGAACTTTCACTAATCTTTCGATGTCGACCAACAGGTGCTGGAGGAGGAGATCTTCTATGTTTAGGTTCACCAAAACCTAGAAATAAATAAATAAATGAATGCAAAGTACCGTAAACCATATTGCATAGTTTTAGATGCTTCTGCAACCAAGACAATTTTCTTAATCTTTAGCTTCTGTTCATGAAACTTGCATGGGGTAAATTGGAAAACTTTTAATAGACTAAATCCAGAAATCCAGATGTCTCAAATTTTGTGACCTTACAAAAACATTCCATAAAATATTTAGTACTGTATGTGATTTTTATTAGCACACACACAAAATTGCCGTTGTGACAAAGTAATAGTAGGTTTGGGGGAAGGTCTGTCACTGTTTCCATGACATTCCATAGGCTTGTACCTATCCTCACACTTAAATGGCACATACGGCCTTCAATAGGCATAGGCATGTGCTCTTAAAAACGGCAATGTCATGGAAACGCTTCAATTGATATCACTAAAACCTTATTTTGTCATGACTTTTATCTAATGTGCTATCAAGTTAAATATCAAACCTGGAGATTTGGGTGGGCTTCCTGTGGTATCACAGGAGTCTGGTGGTCGTGGTGAGACGGCATATAAGTAATTTTGATCATTTTTTCCTGGACTGGCTGGTACTGGCTCATACCCAACTTCTTTTGATAGTTCTGTTACAATGCGTCTTGTTTTACCAGCACCTGTTGTTGACAAGACAAGCTTAATCAGAACGGCACATTAGCTTAATAGATTTTCTTTTCTTTCACCACCACCGCAAAAATGGAAAAAATGGTTGATTCTAATATTTTTGAAATGTTTTCAAATTTAGCTGGTACTAAAATTTATTAGTATAATTTTAGATTGGAATATACAGTTTTGTGCACTGTGATTGGTTGAGCGACCAGTGATTTTGAGACGATAATCACTTCACCTTCAATGAATGACAGACTTCAGCTTTCAAAATCAGATTTCTCTTTCATGATGGGAGCGTTTTTCTTGGGAAACCTCCATTTTACAAAGACAACACTGTTTGAAATGAAAGCGCATCACATACTGCTCTATATTGTATCATTGTTAGTATCTTTCTAATTCGATTGGCAAAACAACTATTCAATGTGGGAAGGATGGGGTATGATAATAGTGATAAATATTACGTAATATACAACATTCAAAATAACACTAAAATAATCTTAAAGCTATACCTTTGAAGACCTTTTCTTCAGTCAGCTGGGTTGGTGTGTCTGGTATCAAGTCAGCAAGCTGCTTATATGACTTACTGACACACAATGTTTGTTCAGCTAGAGTTTGTATGCTCTCGGCTACTAACTGAAGAGCTTCCCTGAGCGTTTTAGCCTAAGTATGGGTAACAAAATAATGTTGTTACAGTGCTTTTCAATAGAGCATTTTCACTCACATCAGAAGGCAGCCACATTCTGGTGTACAAACAATAGAAACGTTTTGCACAGTTTTTGCATAAAAATAGAGTTCAATTTCTTGGGGATAGAAAATGTATTGTTTTGGTACACCAACATGGCCGCTGTGACGTCATGTGAAAATGGCCTATAGCACATGTTGAATCAGGTGTTACAATTCAAAGTAGGTTTTAGTGGAAGTCAATCAAGACGTTTCCAGGACATGATCCATACACGTGGCCTTGAAAACTTTGTGTTTTGAGACAGTGTCATGGACACACTTTGATTGATTGACATCCACCATAATCACATTTTGGCACGACACAAATTTTGTGATTCCAAGTGTGCTATTGAGGATCAATTTTATATCTTACATTACTCTTTCTCCCTGCCTTCCTTCCTTCCTTCCTTCTTCCTTTCTTTTTTTATTCTTTCTTTCTTATCTTAAAACTCCAAAAGGAGTTTATTATTATAGGCACCTGAACCAGATACATCCCCTCAGATCCAYCCATGAACGGGAAGTTCCTGGGATTCACTTCTCTAGAAAAGAGTTTATAACTTTGATACCTTGAATATTTCATGCTTTGTAACTTTGACTTCTAGTTCTGCATGAGCTTCTTCAGCTTTGGACAAGACCTGATTAAAATGACAGTATTCAAAACTGACTTACAACAACTATCAAATGATTCCTCTTACTTTAGAAAGAGACAAATAGGACGTTTGCATGATGATGTCGCTGACCTCTACGTACTACTAGACTCCCTTGCATACTTTCTTTTGTTCAGTTAATTAGCACCAATAGTCTTACTATTCTCATGAGGGAATATAAATTTAAATAAGAAAGAAAATTTGCAAAGCATTATGATAGAGGGAGTCAAATGATGCCATCTTGCAAACGTCCTATTAAAGCTAATTGAATTACCACAACAGCACTCGACCATTACAACATGGTATGTTTTATTACTATTATCAATGGTCCCTAGCAACGTGCAGCTATTTAAAAAAAAGGTGATTGTTTTGTTACATGTTGCATACCAAGCATGAAATTGCACTATTTGAATATTTAAATAATGTCAGCACAAGAAAAATGTGTAGGGAAATTTCATTACATATCGTGACCTTTCGTTGATTGCAGGCATTTCAGGCTTAATATGCAACATGCAACAAGACCATAACAGGTCTGTCAACTCTCCCGGATAAACTGGGAGTCTCCAGTTTTTGGACCGTATCTCCCGGTCTCCAGATTAGAGTCTCAAATCTCCCGGATATCTCTCTGATAATCGCTGAAGCTGACCATTTCTTGTGAGACTCAACTTTCACAACCATAAAATTCCAATTATTTTGTGTTGTTTTACATCACTAACAAAATCAAAACATAAACTGTTCTTGCAAGCAGGCCATTGTAATATAAGCAATAATCTGATTGGTCAGAAATTAACCAATCACATCAAATGTTACAAAGTGAATGACGTCTTTTCACTCGCTTTTTTCTGCTGTGACGTCATGTCCCTTCCCTATCAATTCTCCAGATTTGAATATCTTGGGGGTTGACAGCACTGTCATAACCAACCATTTTTTAAATAGCTGAATACAGGTTAATAAACTAGTTTTCAAACCTCAGCCATTTCGTCAATTGAAGATTTTGCAGGTTTGGATGCTGCATTACTTCTTTTGTTCTGCTCAATCTGAAATATTGAACAATTTGTAGAGCACATGTAAGACACCAGCACATTAGATAAGTTGAGAACTGTCAACATAAATACTTTACCTGTTTTTGTAACTTGTGCAGTCTTGTATTATAAACCATCTCCCTTTTTCTCAACTCATCAAGTTCCCTCTCCTCTCGTAAAACATCCTTGAATGCTTTCCTGTATTTTAGGTGCTATATATTTTGGATTTTAAATCAGTGAATAGTACATATTTCCAGGTTCAATGCAGACTATAACTCTAGACTAGCTTAAGTAGTACCTTTGCATTTAGTGTTTAGGGTAATGATAAAGGTATAGTTGCTGAACAAATATACAAGGGGCAATTATAGCAGCCATGACAGAATAAATTCTTTTTCCTCTGGTAAACTGCTTGTAATCTAGATTCTTTCTCATGTAAATGATCAGATTAGACCAATATTGTTCCTGCCTCCTGTCATGGCTGCCATAACATGACGGTGCAAAGCCTCTATACTGGCGGCCTCTATACTGGCAGAAGTGGAAGCAAAGTAGATTTCTCCATGCAATACATAATGTGGTAACTCACATTTTCAGTAAATTCCTTCATCATTGCAGTCCATATACTGCCAACTTCAAACACCTTACTAAACACATCTTGCAATGCAATGTTATCTTCTTCTCTTGACCATTTAAGCAATGACATGGAGGCTGGAATAATATGTTAAACAACTAGCTAGTTAATGATCTCAAAACTACTGAATAAGGCAATGGTGGAGCGACGGGTCAATTGCCCTCACCTCCACCTCCATCCCCCAAAACCTGTGGATCTGGTGTTTTGGAGGGAAAATGGTACATTGCCCCCTTCCCTCATAACCATCAAAAACGTGGGTTAAGTCTGCATTGCAGTGTATTTTGGGACTGTTATGACATATTCCAAGATGGCATTTATTCTGTCCCCTAAACAGCCCCCAAATTAAAATTAAAACTTAATGTGGAATTATATTTTGTCGCATTATTAGTCTGATCAAACAAAAAGTTAAGCCCAAGATAAGTTTATTATGAAAACTAATATTATCAAAACATCTTTAAAATGATGATTCTGACGTGGTTTGTGATTCAAAAGTTTGCGCGATGAGCGAAGAATATTTCAATCGCTGGAAACCAAATGTGACTGTTCATTGACTACAGCCATTCTACCTAATTTATGTATCAACTTATCAGTGACAATACAAAAGATATATATAATGATGATTGAATTACATGTAAGCACAACAAGTGTCTGCTACACTACGATAAGTAAAATCACTCCACCACCACGCCAAGACATTTCTTGAAATCTATTTAATATCTTGTAGCAGTTCGACTTTTTCCATAGTTTGATTAACTTCCTCATAAAGTTATATAATGCATCAATGAGCTTGGCTTGTTATGATGCGAACAAACGTATCACTGAATTTCGAGCACAAAATGATATAGATATCGATAGCCCTTATAAATCAGTGAACGATTTCAAAATTCGCACAAAATCCAGCCGAAATTACTTTCATAGCATTCACTACACTTTATAGTTTAGTGCGCGATTGCAAAAAATATATATGTGGTCGGTCCAGACATAATATTGTTGTAACATATACTAACCATTTTCTTTAGATTCGACGAGCTTTCGGAAATTCTCGAAGACCAACTTTTCGTCGAATATCAAAAGTCCGAGGAGACCATGGCCATCTTTTGCATTGAAAATCGCTTTCTTCGCAGCTCTTTTTACCATCAATGCCATTTCGTTCCCTGGTAAATATTCTTTACAAAATAACCAACCGGATAATTAAGTTACCGACCGGAAGCAACACATTCTGCTTTATAACTCGGAACTCTTGATACAGGAAGCCCAAATGATGTCCCAATATTAGATGGATCTATTCGATGGACGGACACGAAGGACGGACCGTCTATGTGGATGTATAATTTGCCCAGCAAATTTTAATGGTCCTCTCTTGTAAACAATTTTATTACGAGATTGTTCAGTCAGGGACAGATCCAGGATTTTTTTATAAAGGAGCTTGTGTGGTATGTACTCTGAAACTCCGAGAGTTTGAATTAAAATCCTTATGGGGTTGGGGTGGGTTGGAACCCATACGTGGTCTGTAATGGGAAATTGCATCACCACGAATAATTAATATCTATTGTTCATCGTTAATAATAACTAGCATTAACATACACAACCATGAGTTGTTGTCACTACTTAGGTGCAACTGTCTTTTTTTATTCATTATCATTTTCAGCGCGGTTATTTGAATAAAATTTTATGCTTCAATATTGGTTTCCTAGGCCTAAAGCCATTCACGTGATCGGAGTACGAGGCCCCTTGCGATTTGGTCCAAAAGTTATGAGAAATTTATGAGGCAAAGATTTGATGTCAAGTACTCTTTCTTCTAGACTTATAGTCTATGTCTATCGGTTGCATTATTCTAGCTCCAGTGCTTTTACTTGGGTCAAAGCTATCGTTGCCGTGACAACGAAACCTACGTCCAAAAAGCATAAGGGCGAGAAAAACTCTGTAATTCAGAGTTTTTTTAAAATAAACTCTTTTTTAAATGCGACATTTTATTCTTCAAACAGTTTAATTTGATCACTCCATAAAAGCTACGCCACGAAAGAGAATCCAGTTTTCAGAATCCTTAACTAACGAAATCCAGCTCCGTTATTATGTCTTCTGACATCCGACTGATCTGAAATAGTGACGTAGAAATGACGTCGCTGCAAAACTGAGGTGTCATATAAATGCTGTGAAAATTGACCGGCGAAAAATAAAATAAAATACTCATGAGTTATTGTGTTATTGTTATCAACCTTTTCTTACCAACGTTATCTTTTTCATTTTGTGGCTTGGAAATCAATAATTTTAACACCTCAGATTTGCAAATTTCCTAAATTCTGATTGGCTAACATTTTCTCTCAGATCAGCTCGTTAAACCCAACATTACCTGACTCTCTTACACATAAGGCACCGACAAAAGGACAATAAATAGTTCATAAGAATGGATATTAAAATTGCTATAGAAACTGTGCCATTATCTTTTTGCTTTTTTGAGTCTTTCCAAGTTAAACCTGTCGGTGAGTTCTGCCTGAACTTGTGCGGAGGCAGATTGGTATTTACAGTACTCCATGGTGAACTCGCCTTTCCCCTGATAAAAAACAAAGAAAAACACGTTAGACATCTTTTGCAAGGGTAGGCTCTTCCAAAATAAAATTCGTTACAGAGCGCCTGGAAACACTTTAAAGGCGCGATTACACGGAGCAACGGCGTTGCGACACAAGTTGCATGGAGCATTACAGTGTGTACCCTGGTCCCAGAGGCTCGACGATTTTTCTCCACGTATATTTTGAGCAGGGAAGCGGCGCGGCTCAAAATATAAGTGGCCGGGAGAAAAATCGTCGAGCCTCTGGCAAGGTATAAAGTGTGTATTTTTTTGCGAAACAAGTTGCAGCAAATGTTGCGAAAAGTAGAATTCGTGTAGACACTCTTGCAACCTGCTAGACAAGTTGCAGAGAAAATTGCTTCGTGTAATCGCGCCTTAACCATTGACAATCACTACAAATTACAAGCATGGGTTACCTGTGTCAGAGATCGTAAATCTGTCGCATAGCCAAACATATCATTAAGAGGCACCTACGATAAAGAAGAATATTATAATCTAGTTTGTTTGTTCTTTTTGAATCAGTGTGGGAACAGACTATTTTCTCACCTCGGCATAGACAGTGAAATAGCCTTCTCCAGCATCTGTGCCCGTGATAACACCGTGTCTACGACTAACACCGGCGATAACAGCACCCTGGAATCGAGAAAGAAGGCACTTAGACACCAATATGTATATATATAGCATTCCAGGCTGACAAGTGGGTTGCTGGTTGCTGGTTGGTCATCCTGGTTTTTATTTTTTTTATTTTATATTTTGTTGTTTTGCTGTTTTTTTGTTTTTTGTTTTTTTTTTCAGTTTCATTTTTTGTTTTGTTTTTTCTTCTCCTAGTTCTCCAATATTCTTTCCTCAATCAAAATCAACTTCTAGATTCAAATAGTCCCTTAAACAGTTCCCTGCGCCCTCTTGAAAGGTAGCCAAACCTTTGCATCGAAGCGAGACGAACGGTGAGCTTGCAATGATAGAGACCCTTTTTTTTTACACCATGGAAAATTATTCACATGTCTGTCTCTATCATTGCAAGGTCATAGTTTGTCTTGCTTCGATGCAAAGGCACGGCTACCTTTCAAGTTTGCGCAGGGAACTGTGAAGGGGACTATTGGAATTCAGTGGATGAAAAGCCTCTTTGCGGAACCACATGCAGTTCGTTTCTCATTACAATGGTTATCATGCCTGCTTGAAATACGAGTTATCAAATACTAACCTGGAATTCTTGAGGAGCGTTCACCTCCAGGCTCATTATTGGTTCTAGGATTATTGGTGATGCTTGGTTAAACGCTGTAAAAGGAAACAAATATATATTGCCATGAATGCCCTGATATAACATCATTACTTAGTAGAATTTTTCTAAGTACAGGGGAAGGGTGGGGGGTGGGGAGGGAGGGGGGATGGTAAGGAAAAAGGATAGGAAAATGTGTAATGTGCTATGATTAACTCCGGCACTAGTTAACAAACCTTCTCTTAGTGCTCCTATAGTTGCCATTCTGAAGGCCATTTCACTCGAGTCTACAGCATGAGCAGCACCTGTAACGGCAAAACGAAATAGTACATCTGTCACGTCTGCGACAACTATCTCCTAGCATAACCAATCTGGCTGTAGGAGTCAAATGAATGACAGACGTAGGTTAACTATTACTAACCATCTTCTAAAACAAAACAAACGCCAGCAACCTTGTGGCCAGTGATGAAGCCTCGCTCACATGCCTCGTAAAAACCCTGCAACGTAAACAAAGATGGATGTCATGGCCTGACTTAATGGTAGACTGTTACAACAGTTCCTCTCAAGTATCCTGGCAAAGAGGAGGTTTCGCTTCTTTCAGCCATTAACAAATTAGCCAATCAGCGAACATTTTGTTCAAAGCTCAATATTTCCTAGTTCCAGGTTCCAGGTCGATAAACAACGGCTTTTATTCAAAAACAAAACAAACAAAAAAAACTTATCCGCGGATAGATTCACCAAATATCTTTTAGAAATAATATATTTTTCGTAGTCGTTTGTGGAAAATATTTTGTTTTAACAAGACATAATAGAAAATACTTTGAAATTTTCATTGTGACAAACAATGCATTGCGCGCTCAGATTCTAAATCGCCTGGGCCTGGTTGTACGAAGCCTGGATAGCGCATAAATAAATCCTTATCCAGCAGATAAGTCGATGCTGTTATTCAATAAACATATCTAATGGATAAGATTTATTCGTCGGATGGCGCTATCCAGGCTTCGTACATTCGGGCCCTGGACGGAATAATGGAAAGTGGTAAGAGGCCATTCGAAGCTTGACCCAAATAAAAAAACTTGGACGTCAAGTCAAAACCGTAATACATTGCACGAGAATGTAGTCAGTGTTTACACATGGAGAAGGAAGATTTTCTGACCTTTTCAATGGCAGGTATAAAGTTTTTGGGAATGTTCATTCCTACAGTTGCATCCACGAATTCGTTAGTCGTGATTAAATCTTCTGGCATTGGCTGTGAAAGAGGACAACTATGTCAGTATATGTAGTATCTCCTGAAACTCTGATTACCATACCAGTGGCAAATCCAGGGGGGGATTTCAAGAGGGTGACTGTTACCAAGAAAGGCATCACTGCTGACATATTATTCACCCCCCTAGCTAGGCCTATAACCTTACATACGGATGTGCAAGCCATCCTGGTTATCCATCCACATAGACGTCCACCTTGTCCTGCAGGTTACCTACCTGAATCTTTCCTATCACACGACCAAACTGACCAGAACCTCCAGTCTGCTTCTTGTGCGTGTAATCAAAACTACAAGGCAAAAAGTTGACGATCATTAAGGCGCGTAAAGAAGCGCACAACATAAGGATTTCCCATGGCAAGTGTAAAAAATCTTGGTCGCCAGCACCTCGACTTTCATCTGGGCCCGATTGTACGAAGAGTGGATAGCGCTATCCGACGGATAAATCTTATCCAGATAAACTTATTGTATAACAGCATTGACTTATCCACTGAGTAAGGATTCATCCATTCAATAACACTATCCTCCATTCGTACAACTGGGCCTTGGCACTAGTTAAAGCTTTTGATACGATACATTGCTTCAAGAGTTTGAAGAAAAAATATATATACTTCATAAACCCTTGGCCGACTTTTTACATAAAATCGGCGATGAGAAATTTGAAGAAAAGGGGGGTGACTGTTACTAACGATATACTGAGAAATTTGAGCAAAAGGGGGGTGACTGTTACTAACGATATACTGAGAAATTTGACTAAGAAAAGGGGGGTGCCTGTAACTAACGATATGCTGAGAAATTTAAAGAAAATGGGGGTGACTAGTCACCTATATTACCACGCCTGGATCCGCCCCTGAACGGAAGGGTATTTGATGAGATAATTACCTGGACTCTTTACTAACTGTCTCTCTGAAGGCTACTTTGGGTTTACCAGATATAACAGGACAGTTGTATTCCAACCTCATGCGCTGAAACCAAACAAGATGGCATCAACAAGGTCACGAAATAACACGTAATAAATCTAGAAAGAGGAAGCTTGCGTTCTTGCAGATGGCAGCGATGCGAGGGCAAAGTACTGCAGATATAAGATAACAGGAGAGAGCCAATCAGGTTGCGAGTTTGGAGATGGTCAAATAACCTAGTACATGCCACTGTCCCAGCAGTTATCCAAAATACTTTATGACGAAGTGTGCATTCTTACAGGTAGTGGAGATCAGGGACAGACTACTACAGATATAAGATATAATGCCAGGAGTGAACCAATCAGGTTACAAGTTTGGTCAAATAACCTAGTACTGTACATGCCACTGTCCCAGCAGTTATCCAAAATACTACATGACCAAGGACAATACGGTATATATTGTTTATTCATCGTTACCTCGGTATAGACATCCAGATGTAGCTCTCCCATCCCTGATATAATAGTCTAAGGAAACAAACAAAACAAAACAAAAACATTAGCAATGAAGGAAATATGCTAGAAAATAGAAAATTTAGTGTCAAATTCGACATATTGAAAGGTTTGAACAAAATAGGCCTTTTACGTTACACAGTCGCTTGCTGATAAATCACCTTAATAATGAAGAAACACAAGGCTGTGCTGGATGACAAACCGACCTCAAAATGCTTGGCTAGTATGTTACAAGGTAAAAATTGTCACGCTTTTTAAAGTTGATTTCTGTGCCGCTACAACACATGGGAATGTAACGATATGGAACTGACGAGATTTAATAAAAATACTTGGACATGTCATCTCTATAATTAAGGCATGGCACGGCGCGAATCCGTGAGGGTTTCACAGTCTTATGTCTTTGCTCTGATACATGCGCAATAACATACCTCTTTACTCTCGTCATCAAAACGAACTCTAAACGTCGGGTCTTCGCGAGTAAAACGATTTATTGCTTTAGAGAATTGATCCAGGTCATTCTAAAACCAAAGGAACCAGAAATAAGAAGTTTTTAAAAAACATATAACCTAACCACTAAAAATATAATGCAGCTAATGAACGAGTAGAATAGTGATTATCAAACAGGAAGGAAATGATTTGCAATCTGAAAACTTAATCGCATGTTAACAGGATCAAATCAAGGCTCTGCATAAAAAAAAGTTCATACCTTATTTTTTGGCTCAACAGCAAGAGAAATAACCGGCTCAGGTACGAACATTGGTTCCTAAAATAAATCAATACATGGATGAGTTTAGATCTGAGCATTGTGGATGCAACAATTTTTGGATTATTCTATTCGTACTGATTTATTTGAAAATAACCAGGAGCATACTTCCAGACATCGAGTGCTGAACCGTCGTATGGTAACGCAAAGCATTTACAGCTATGCTGGAGATTTCGAGATAAATTACTTGAATCTTTCCAATATGTTATACTGTGTAGACTATCTGCCGCTAAACAAAGAAACAATAGTCTAGGGAATGACACGTGGTCCATTAACTAACTGGAAAACCTTACTCATCCCTGGGGTCTGCGGGATGCAAATGGCTCACTGCCTTAGTTCTTGGTATCAAGTTCACAATGTAACGCTCAAAACATGATGGTAAAAACGATCTACGCCAGGTAATTCTATACTTTTAATTATAATTAATCATAGTTATAAATTTTTATGTTTAATACAATACAGCATAGTGTCAATCTTAATTAGTTACCATGGATACTTGTGGTGCTCCTTCTGTTGTAAACGTGTCACCAGAAGCACACTCAACACCAAACAAAGCACAGATGTCTCCCGCATAACTCTCCTGAATATCCTGCACCACAAAATACAACAATAAGATGCATTATTTAAGGCAGATCCCAGATAGTATGGTAAAGGGGATGGATACTCCCCCCTTCCCCTCCCCCCTCATATCCCAGTGGCAGATTCCTGGGGAGGTCACATGGTTCTTGTGCACCCTCACACCGACTAAGCTTGGAATTGACTATACATTAAATACTGTAATGCATTAAAGAGGTTTCATCTTCTTACTTTTTGAACCCACCCTACTCAAAATTCTAGATTAGCCCACGCATGCTGTTAGCACATGCTAATGTTGCTTTATCTCTGTAGGATTGCTAAAGATGAGAGACCTAAAACCACAGGGACAGCAAAGATGACCCCTGCTAAGAGCCAGGTATGTGTGAACATAGTTACCATACACTAAGACAGTCACAGTATCTTGCACATTGGAAATTATTGAGGAGAGGGGGTCATTAAAAGCACAAGAGAGTTTGTGTGGAGATTGTGTGATTTTCGTTAAAATATTTTTAACGAAAATCAATACATGTTACACAGATCCATGATTACCTCCATCATATCAGCATGTAGACGCACTATTCTTGGCACTTTTACACGTTTGCCAGTTCTAGTATTAACGATAAAACCTCCACGTTTAAGAGTTCCCTGGTAAATCCTCAGGTACGTTAACTGTCCATACCTTCCAGCCTGTAAGTAAAGAAAATTATGGAAACTGCATGTGAGGCTAGAAAAAATTTTAAAAAGATCCTTGAACTTTACCAAGAGAAAATGAACTAAAAAAAGAAATCCCCGCACCCCATCATTTGCACTCTATGATGCTATTTTTAGAATCATGTATGCTATTTTTGGAATCATTCATTTGACAATTGCTTTTCTTCACATGCATACTGCATGCATTCTATGCTGTTTGCTCATGTTTTCTAATTTTAATTTTCAGGGGGGAAATGTGAGCACACACAAAGTTTCGTCATGCAATGCTCACTCCCCTTAGGTAACGTCCCGGGGAGCGAGCATTACATGTGGACACCAAGTGTCTTATAGTGGATGCTTAGAGACTAGGAGCTGTAGAGCACTCAAGAAGTCAAAGTAACACTCCATGTATTAATGTTTGCTGTCCTCTGATATAAACATGGTTATAAAGCATTCTTACCAATGAGGGCGCACGTAGCAGGTACATACCTCAAGTTTAAAGGCTAAACCTACAAATGGATGATCGTCTCCTCGCTTAGAGTTCATTAGAATCTTATCTTCTTTGCTGTGCAACCAAATTTAGACAAAAAATAAGCACCAGATGTTTAGCATTTTTGACAGTCTTTTACAGACATTACTAAAAAGATAACAGGTACTATACATATGCAACGAGTACCTGTTTGCAGCTAATGCATAGTTCTGTACTTGTGTAGGGTTGGGTAGGTAATCCACAACACCATCCAACAACGGCTGGAAAGAAAATTACATATATTGATGTTAGCAGTATTCCTCCTTTACTTTAAATGATTCATATCAAAAATTAAGYGGAAATCTAGAAGATAAATGGTCATATACCTGCACTCCTTTATTTTTAAGAGCAGAACCTACAAATACTGGTGTAAGGACTCTTTTTATTGTTGCACATCTTATTCCAGCCTTCAAATAGCAACAAGAACATAAATTATTTTGCTAAGCAAGAGAAGAGCCATTTTTGAATGCAACAACCATGAGGAGGGGAGGAGGGGGTTGGGGGGTTCAAATTTCTTGTATGGGTTACCAAAACCAACTGCCCCCCTTCTTGGGCATGATATTTTCCCATTTCAGACCATGTGTCACTCTCCTGACAATAAGATTTTTTGTTTGAGTTGTATCCATATTCATGTGTCTTTTCATGTGAAACTGCTAAACAAAGAAATAATACTCTAGGGAATGACACAAGGTCTGAAAAGGGTTAACAGTGAATTAGGACTATTATGGGATTAAGATTATACAAACTATAACATACTATCAGTTGCTCTTGTGTTGGAGTAATTTCCTCAAGAAACAGGTCACCTATTTCATTATCAACATCTGCAACTGCCTCTGCAAAATAATATAAGACAGTTGTTATGGTTATTGGACTTGAGAGAACTATAGCAAATAATCATTTTGTCTAATGGTCAAGCAAAAGTATTAAATAAATTGTAAAAGGTTAAATATTTTTATCTTCGGTAATGAGATGTACTTTATGAACATGCAGCTGACACTTACAGCCAACATGCTGATCATGCATTGAGCACAGGCTGGGGTCAAATGATGATTGGCTAATTGTTGGCCTAATTAAGGTGAAGTGTTATATATATACACACTATATTACCAATAAGTTCTTGGCGTCGTTTAGTACACTCATCCACCATGTCTTCAGGTATAACATCCTCTCTGACCACAGCCCTATCGATTATAGAAAAATTATGTCATGATAACAACTATAAGAGACTGTTCTTTAACTAAATACAGTTCTTGTTTAGTAGGTTAATTGTTCAAGATTCTTGATCTATGGCTTACCCATTTTCTCCTTCAAAGAAGTAAGCCTTCCATCTTATTAAGTCCACCACACCATTGTGCTCACCCTCAAGTCCAATAGGAAGTTGCACCAACGCTGCATTATGATTTAGTTTTGCCCTGATGTAAAGGAATATATTACAGGGGATACATTAAGAGGCATATGCATTGCATACTGAAAAAAGATTGTGTTAGTAGTTTCAAATTGTCCATAAACAAAAAAGCTTTTACTATAATATATCTTAATCAATCAATTATAAAGATTATAGTTTGGAAAATGTAGAAAGGGATGTACCTTAATTGGCTGACTACTTTATTATGATTTGCTCCCATCCTGTCAGAAATCAAAATGTCAAACATAAACACCTTACAAACACTTTAACAACACCTTACCAACCACTTACTGGCACCTTTTTACCAGTGCGGATTGAATACAGTAGCCAGCTGTTAGTTAACTAGTATTAAATCTATTGGCTTTTGTAGATACACACCACCTATTATATACCCAGTTATAGTGCTGATATCTACCTGTCCAATTTGTTTATAAATGCAATACATGGAACATTGTATCTTTTCATTTGTCTGTTTACTGTTAAAGTTTGGCTCTACAAAAATATCAAAAAAGAAGAAAATTAATACTCGTTTCATAAGAAACAATTAATTATATTTTTACCCTGCATATATTTCACCGGACAAAAAGTCTGATAAAGTTTAATTTTTCTAACAGCAGATGATAGTGATGATTGTTTGATATCATTCGTTTGTCATAATAATATATTACCTGCACACCTCCTACACCACATAACACTAACACAGCACCATCTAAAACCCTTAATGATCTTTCCACTTCTACTGTAAAGTCTACATGACCTAAAAATAAAGAATGAAATTTGGTTTGTTTCTGAAAAAATAACATCTAGCTAACTGAGTATATGAAAATAATCTATGTTTAATCAATTCATGCAACCCTGTCGGCAGAAGTATGTATTTCCTCATGTTTAGTTCAGATGTAGAACTTTTGCTGCATTGGATCTAGTAACTGCCTTTCAAGCCAGTGGCTAAGAAAAAGCTGAGAACTATTATATAAAACAACRACTCTTTCTCTTAGAGCCAGGAGTCAGCATATGTTAAGTTTGTTAAATTATGTTAAATTAGATTGGAAGCAGCAAATGTTCAAGTCTGAACTGGGCCATTACATTTCTTAATTTTTGCCTTGTTGATCTACACTATCAAACCATTATAAATTATTGACAGCACTTTACATACCTGGGGTATCTATAATGTTAATATTTGTATCTTTCCATGTAATAAAAGTTGCCGCTGACTAAAATGACAAGGAAAAAACATGATGTAAATATTTCAAAAAATAATAATGATTTACTTGCATATAATATTATAAATATCGATATAATACCTGTATTGTGATACCCCGTTGTCGTTCCAGCTCCATTGAATCCATAGTAGCACCAACATTATCTTTACCTTTTACCTACAGAAATAAATTTCATAATTATTCACCAAAGAAAAACTGAATATCAGAGAATATTTATAACTGAGTCACGAGTCTTCGAGTGGTGAAGTAAATATTCACCACATTCACTGAGACTGAGGTGGATAATCGTTTTAATAAGTTGTGACTTGAATATCAGAGATTTTTTTTAGTATAATACTTTCACTCTAGCAAGCTTTGAACCTCATAACCACTCGAGCAGTGAATATGGTTATTGGTCATTTGACCAATCACAGCGCCCAACACTTTTTATTCAAATCTAAAATTATATAACTAATATAAGATATTCATGTCAACTTATTATCTGAAACTATTTAATGTGGTTATTTTATAAGCAAAGTTAACTTGGAGTGTGTTGCTGGTCAGCGGTGTGTTGTCGACAGCGCATGCGCTACTGCAGCCATTGCCCTTGTGGTTGGCCATTGCTCTCAATCCCTCAGCATTGCTGCCTATTGTTGCTCTCGCCCCACCCACCCTCCCTGTGGGTTAAATAAAAGGTAAGTATAAACTTCCACTGTGTTAACAGTGTGACAGGTGCCAAGGTTGACCCATGGCTAGGTTGCCATGGTTATCTCTAGCCAATTGCTAGCCCTTGCTGTCGTCGTGCGGCATTGTTGGCATCTACCCTCCATATCGAATTGCGACAAGTTAAATATGATTATAATCAGATTTGCAAATGACACATACCTCATGCATTTGATTGATTTTTCCAGTATAATATAACAATCTTTCTGTCAGAGTAGTTTTGCCAGAGTCAATATGAGCTGATATACCAATATTCCTGATCTTCGATACATCAATCTGTATCAATGAATAATACAAAGTTAATTTTTTTCTTACATGAAATACTGTACTTTGATATTGCTTCTAACACATTACACAAGTCATCCAACCAATGAGGGTATTTAGAAGGGATTTTTAAAAAAATTCATAGAACAATGGAAAAATGAGATTTTTGAAAAATGGGAAAATTATTATTTGGGATTTCATGTGCTGGGACTGGGAATTATGGAACATAGAATCTCCAAAGTATGAATAAGATTATTTTCCCCCTTGCATAAAACTTGTAAAAATTTGAAAACATTGTCATGAAATCTTATAATAATAAGCCAAGGTTTACCCCAAGCCTGAAAAGTGATCTGCATTACTTGTCAATCTTTACTTTCTTACTGTTAAATTTTAGGCACGGATAAACTAACTAAGTTTATGATTTCTGATGCATACAGAAAATATTTGGGATTGCCATCCAAAAATTTATTTTAAGGCTGCCCTGATGATCGTATTTTGTAGGAGCAGCTTTGTTGCATAACAGCTGATGTATTTAGAAGAACTAAGCTTATATCAAGTTAAACTCACAGAAGCAGAAGAGGATGCTAATCTTCTAGTAATAACTGATTGGACCTGAAATTAAGTAAATGATCCATTGATTACAAGAATCACAGTAAACCATTAAAGAAGGGAAAGAAATGGATTCTGTACAACGAAATAATCATAAGTTGTCTGTATAACGTAATAACAAACTTACAGTTTTTGAAACACTTTGCAGTCCACGACGATATAATAATAAGTAAGTTAAACCCATGTTGATAAGATTTTGAAGGAGATTTGATTATTTTTACCGGCTTTTTTCTTTCACGTTGTCAACTACGAAACTCCATGTGTGTAGAGACTGAAAAGTTACACCGCTGGACATAGAAGACACAGGTAACCCAAAACTGATATATTGTAATGTTTTTCATTCAAACTACTTCTCCGTTTATTACGTCTACGTTTATTACTAGACAAAGCTTTCTTTCCTAGAGTATTAAACATCCTTTAGAGTATCATTTCTTCGTGTGACGGTTGCACATGAGAAGACATATGAATATATATACAACTCAAACAAAATATATTATTCTCAAGGAATGACACGTGGTCTGCTGAAATGGGAAAACATTTCTCAAACTTTTACTAATGTAGACAGGAAGCAAACTGAGTCAAAGAAAAACAAATATACTTTTATTTATATTTTTTCAAGTCATTACATATATATCATATGTATTATACACAAACCGTATGTACAGGAAGCTACTACGCCGGTAAGTAAAGCTTAATTATACTAGTATTATCAAGAAGAACCTGGTAGACATTACAAATACTATGGGTCTTGTAGATGAAAGAAGCAAAAAGGCATAGAAAACAAACGAGCCTTTCAACTACGGTCCTGAAGTCCTAAGAAAATCATTTGAAACAGCATGCTTACATTTAATAGTAGTTGAGCAGAATTTCAGTGAGTCTCAGCATAAATACCTCAAAGTTTATACAGTAAAGTTAGGTATGAGGGACTGATTTGTATGAGAAAGAGAACGGTGAGGCCTAGCCTGGCCAGCCTCCTTTTAATGCTTTTTTTTTTGTCACATGTCACATTTTTTATGCTTTTAAAAGGGACTGGAAAAGCAAATACGATAGTTAGGATTTGAAAATTTCATCAAATTTGTGCAAATTGCAACGGAATTCAATTCAATGTGAAATTTCAAAAAAATACATGCAAAGAATGTAAATTGTGAGAAGGACGTTTGGAGGGACACCATACAATAGTTTCTATATAGTAAGCTTGTTTTATGCTCAGTACTGTAATTTCTGGGTTTCACTTTACGTTATTTCCTGTCTAGTGTGGAATGTTCATCAGTTAAAGCAAGTTTTCATAGTATTCCTTCTGGCTGACAGCACATTGTGGTCAGTGTCTGAACACCATTTGCAGCAGATAATGACATTCAAAGTCGTTTATCAGCTGATTGAAACCAAGCAATAGACGGTAAGACCCTTTGCAGCACGTCGGAATACAGCTCAATTTGGAGGACGTAACAATGTTTCCAATTCAAATGAGCTTGAAGTTCTTTTATATTGTCCTCCAAATTGAGCTCCTTTGATGTCACATGCAAGAGGTGTATTTTAATAATTAGTTTTTGACACTCGCACCCAGTCCCTTGCTCAATATGGAAACGCCTAGTTGGTCGATTTATGCAAATTAGGCCCTGTCCTCTTTCTCGCTACGCTACTGTCTCATGGCATAGTATACTCATATATTAACGTTAAACCAGACTGGTTTTGTTATGGCTGTCCAAAAATAGATCCTTGAACAGCGAATTGCTTGGTCAGGTGTGCTAGTATAGACGCTACGATAATCGTCATCCCGTAGATGTTAGTAACATAAGCCTTCGACCTTGAGTTGGGAGCGGGAGTTGAAGGTAGAAATGATGGTGGATTGCAAGGGTCGTAGCCTGGCCCGCTCTCACCAGCCCATCCAATCGTGTAATTGTTCTTACATCTTTGTTCAAAGAGCCAAGAAAGTAAAGGGTTGAAATATTCCTTTAGCGGACCGACATCCAGTTGACTAGAACCTGTTATGATTTCTAAGGCTTTCGGCCAAGGTTTGCTTCTTCCCAACTTTAACATTGCACTGCAATCAGAGAGGTTAACATTTAAGCATAAGTAGAAGATGCAGCGGGAATAGTCACTAGAGTAGGGAGGGGGCATGTGCCTACAGAAAGAGTGTGCTTTATCCATGCGGGAATCCTGTGGATTTGGCGGGGGAAAAGGTGTAAATCCCCCCCCCCATATAATCGAGACCTCGGTACGCCCCTGGGAATAGCTTTTCGTATTCACGACCTTCTGACCACTAGTCGAGCTCACGTGCAAGCTATAAAACCTCATTAATTATCGATTGTAATAAAAATTAAACCCATAGGTAAACTTGTCACTACTTAGTTCGGATTGTAAAATAATTAAAACATTTAGTAACACACGAGCACTCAGCTATGCTGTAAATATCTATTATGTATTAGAGTGAAGTTATTAATAGACCCTAGTTCCATTGTTCTTTTGTGTCTTTTTGACTATTACATGTTGACTAGTATGTTTTACGGGATAAATGCCTTCACTAATAAATGTAAATAGAATTATTAATAATAGAATAAATAATACTGACTTCATCTTACTAGCTCGTTTTATAAATAAACTAAGATTCGATAAATATTTCAGTTGGCACTCGCTAAAAGTCGATGCCTATATAATGAGGAAACTGATATAGACTTTACTTATCGACTGACCTGATCTTTGCACCGGCTGCCTTGGATTCGTAGATAGAACATTGATGAAGAGGACCTTTAAATCCTGCTGCCTCACAAGCTGCTTTGTGAAATTGGAATTGCAACACTGTACTGAGAAAATATCTGATAAAGAACCAAACCATCAGTTAACTGGACAGAACAAGCTTATAAGTTGCGAAATGCGATGAGCTCTAACGTTCATTAATCCAATAAATTTCTGGATGTTTAGCTTAAAAAATGACAAAATGAAGATTTAGTTTCTAAAAAGTATTGCTGAATGAAAAGTTGGCCACAGCGCGCGTTCAAGTACTGCTGAGCCAATGAAAATGTTCGAATGAATACAATATCGTCACGTTCACGGCACGCCACATATTACTATGTTACTTATTTAATGAAATATCTATACAGCATCATAGCCGTACCTTAGGTATGGAATGTTTGCAGGAATATGATATTTTGCTCCAGGATCAAATAAACTCTCATCTCGACTGACCGGTGGTTTGATGCCCTGGTAAATTAACCGCAGCTCCCACCATTTTTTGTTAAAATCTGATTCTTTGATGTCACCGTTGAAGACTTTCCATCGCCATTGGTCCACAAGGTATGCAAAGGGAAGAAAAGCCACAATTCTGGTGGCTGTCTTCATGAGAGCGTTCACTTCTGACTCTGAAAATATAAATTTAAATTTTGAAAACTGCAAACAAAATCAAGTCTATATTATCAACGTTTTATTGTGTTAGGTTTGCTATTTAAATGAGTATGGTGTCGATTGATAAGGATAAATCCTTAAAAAGTGATGCGATTTTCCCAGAAACTTCATCGGTCCATTCATTCTTCCCTCTGTCACTTTCGCTTAGAAAAATAACTGTTCCAGAAACTTTTCCCCCCTGTAAAATCAATTATATATGTTTCAAGATCATCCTCTGATAAAAAGCCAACCTTCGCGTATGCCATCAGAGCCAGGTTCGGGGGGAGGCTGCCACCTTCTGGCCTTCAAATAAGCAGTGTTTATACTACAGACGCTTAATACGAAAACTCTTTAGAGCGTCATTTATGCTAAGTATTAAGTTCATCATATATAACGATGGGCAGAAGACGCGTTATGCTTTCAGACGCGCTATTTGATTTAGTGCATGCATGCGTCTTGAACGTCTGATCGCATATTGCGTCTTCCGCACGTCCTTATATAACGAAATTAGAGACGCATAAAACGATTTACTAAAAACATTTGCCCTTGAAGTTCCTCAGGACTTTATGGTCTTCTTGCGTCTCTTATAAGAACAGGCAATACTGGCTTTGGGAAAAACCATTACATAATTGAGGATGGGGTTGCGTAAACATCCCAAAAAAATATCGAGCAAGCACTTCACCTACGACAAACCTCCCCCTGCAACCTCCCCCTCAACTATCTAATGGTACATCCCTTAGCTTTAGTGAGAAAACAGTCACTTCCCTAGAAAAACGTCCTGCTTCCGCTTCCAAAGTTAATAGCTTCCTACCTTTATCTTCTGCATAGCTATCGAGGAGACCAATCTTGACAAGATGCTGTGGGTTGTCTACAGATAGTGATAACGTGTCACCTAAAGCCTCGTGAAATGCTGGATTAGCACCATCGCGATAAACGAATGGCTGGTTCCAGTAACCCAAGAAATAGTAAATATGACCTAACTCGTGGTGGGTGGTGACCATGTCACTGTGGGTGATACTGATGCATTGCTTAATCCTGAAAATACGAAATAATGGTGGAAGGTTAGTTGATTTACAGGTCAGTTGATTGTTTCCGCCAGATAAACGCCGCCTTGCGCGAAAAAGCGGGTTGGTTTAAAATAGACAGACGCCGTGCAGTCCAGGCTCTAAGCATTTCAGTGCAGCATACACTATTGAATAGACCTTTCCCAAATTATCTTGAGTGGCCACAAAACAATGACTCAAACTCTAGGTCGTACTTGATGTGTTCATACATTTGCTGTTATATTTTACGTAAAACCTAAACTTGGAACATTGTTTTGGGTCACTGAAGAAAATTCGGTAAATCAATTTTTAAAATGGGGCAATTTAGGATTTAGCGCTAGTTCGGAACGTCTTGGTCGGGAATTACAAAGCGCGCGAATTAATAGTTGCGGAAGGATCTCCCATGAACAATCAAAACCTTTTATAAGACGCAGTAAATATCTCCGAGTCTATTATTTGCGATATTGAAATTTCGTTCTCACAAACTGCTTCCCTGCTAACAGAGTCTCCTTCGTTGACGATTCTTGGCAGAGAAAAAACTGAAAAATTCAGTAAGAAAATTAATTTGTGGAGACCAGACGAGTGAAGAAGGATTAAAAAAATTTTTTTTTTTGTTGTATGATGCATCATACCTGACATCTGGTAGGCTTTTGCTATTGTTCAAGTAAAAATCCCAAGCAGAAGGATGACAAACAACATCACGTCCTTTAGGTCTTTCTATCATCGAGTCGTCATAGAAGGTCTCCGGTAATTTCTCTAAACCAATCGATACGAAAAACGATTCTGCTAATTCTACGATTTTCCTCGCAGTGTAGTTCCTCTTTATTAGACTTTCAGTCAGATCTAGACTTGATTTACCAGGATAAGGTTCCAGTAAATCAAAAATATCAGTCCAGGACTGAGACCACATATTTCCCAAAAGATGAGCAGGTATGGGTTCACTATCCAAAACCACCGGATATTGCTTTCGTAGCCTGTAGCGAACAAAGGCATGTAACTCCATGTACAAGGGTTTCAAATCCATCCATAGCTTCCCTACCTCATTGCCTATACTTCCAGGCCTATACCACGATCTCCACCAATCACCAGTGTCTTCCCAGTTGTTGTCTCTGGCTCCTTCGTTCGATAGTTCCACAAACTTCTTGTAAAGTGGCCTGATCTTAGGCCCTGTCACTCGGCGCCATTCACGCCAGGCTGTAACGAGGTGTTGGTTGTTACGAGACTCGGCCATTATTTTGACCAAATCGGGAACCAGAGAAAGATTTGTACCAATCTGGGGATGGGATACTTTTGCTGAACTATAAATCTCTTCCATTTGTCCAATGATGTTTGCAAGTTCCCGTCGCTTGGTTGTATCTTTCGGAGTAGCTGACTGCATTATCCTCGAGAATTGTCGCTTCGTGTCCTCTGTCAATTTACTGAGATCAAATTGGCCGGCATTTTTACGGGCCTCTACTTCAAATGAAGAGTATTTTAAGTATGCTGTAGTTCGTAATTTCATGTTTTCTTCTGTGATATCAGTGGCGTGTTTCCACATCGCTGTTTCTAGGTCATGAGCTTTGTTCGTAGCTCTTTCGTTGTACTGGGCTAAGAATGCCTTTGCGTTGACCTCCTCATCAGCTAGTACCGTTAAAGAAGACAAGAGTACTATCAGGCAGAGTTTAAGGAGCAGTGACTGGAAGGCTTCCATCGTTGTTGAACAGAGAACCTTGTACCGGGGCAAATATATTATAAGTAATGTGGATGATCTGAACTACATAAACGAACTAAGGAATGTAAATTGATACCTTGGTGTTACAATAAATATTTAGTACCTTCTCAGTCAATAAACATTTATATCATCGGGGACAGAAAATTAATCAAGAAACTCTCATGTTTCATTGTTACCTTGACAGATCATTCAGATGATTACTAATTACATTAGATTATGGCTTTTATTAGCGCCGTAGTTAATACATAAGCAAACAAGCTCAAGTAAAACCAAACGTCACTATAGTAAGCTAGGAAGTTAAACGCGATATGATATGACTACAATATTATTCCAGCGAGTTTGTCACGGTTGTGCATCATGGGATTGAAATGCGTACAAGCCAAGCCAAGCGCATATGCTAACATGCTGCAACAGTGTTTTGTAGTCTTATTGTTTTCAATTCATGGAAGAACTATGGTTTTTCGACTAATATCATTCTTCTCTTTCACGTAACCGAAGCCTTTATTTGCAATGTTTGTCCGCATTTCGATCCCACAAGGCTTTGCAATATCTATTTTTAGTAACCGTAAAAAATGCTATTTGATACTCGTGATCCCCTCTGATCGAACTTATACAGCCTTATAAGCAACCGAATAGGAATAAATCTTTTTTCACTAAAAAGATTGCCTTATCGTTGAAGAATTAAATCTAATAAAAAATGGATTAAAGAAAGAAAAATCTTATGTGGATAAAGTGGGATTCGGACCCAACCCAAAAAAAATTTCAAAAAATCGATTCTAATTTGCCATACCCCCGAGACATCCGCAGAGCTGAGGCGTCGTATGGACTTCGGACCTGACGGCGATTAAATCCTTCTGCCCTTGGGTG